GAGGAGGGCAGAATAGTTCCAGCAGATTCCAGTGGGCTCCTGCCCAGCGGGGGGGGGGGGCATGGGGGCCCAGCTGGGGGAGGGGGCGTCAGAGGCAGGGGGGGGGATCCTGGCTGGGCCCCACAGAGGTCTGCCCCAGGGCACAGCCTGCCACCTTCCATGTGTGGAAGGCCACGAGGACCCAAGGGGCCAGACAGCCCCTCCCTGGCCCAGACCACAGGGTCTGGAATGTCCCCAGAGGCCTGTAGGGGAGGCCTGGTCTTCGGCTGGGCACTACCGGGAGGTGGTGGACTCTGCTTCCCGGTCCTGGTGGGAGCTGCCCTGTGGTGCCCTGCCCTGCAGTCCACGTGGGGCTGGTCCCACCAAGAAGGCTCTGAGTGTGCCCAGGCCGTTCCTTCTCAGTGGTTAAGTGCTGTATGTGAATGTCGAGGTCCTGGGACCTTTTCCTGCCAGTCAGGGGCAGGGGGGTGGAGATGGCAGGAGGTGGGAAAGGCAGGCTGGTGTGCTGATGGGTGACAACAAATCCCACCATTAGGACAACTGTGATGCACGAATTTGAAAACGTGGAGAAAAGTTAAAAAAAAAAAAGGCCGGGTCTGGCTCTGAAGATGAGGAAGGGGACTCTAGAATTTGGATGCGGCGGAGTGGACCCTCCCTGGAGCTCAGGAGGGACCTGCCCTGCCGCACCGCAGCTGTATGGAGCTCAGGGAGGCCGGTGAGGGAGGGACTGTCATCTAGGGGAAAAGGGCCAGCCACGCTCTTCTCCTGCAGGCGGGGCCCGTGCCACCCAAGGTGCCACCGGTGCCTTTCCTGTGCCGGAGGTGGCCGCTTCCCGCTCAGCCCCGCGAACCACGCAGAGGTCAGCTGCCACGGGAGGCTCTGCCTGGCCAGGCCAGCCCTCCCGTGCCACGACAGTGGGCAGTCACAGACGACGACCGAGGAGACCGGGGAGGGAGCAAAAGAGGCGGCGCCGAGTTCTGGGGCGCGCTCCGCTCCGCACGGGACAGCGCGCAGCTCCCTGCCCTGGGAGCCGGGGAGCCCGCCCAGGCGTCTCCCGTTCTTTGGCCAAGAAGAAACCGGCCTCGCTGCTTGACCCGGGCTGGGTTTCGGTTACTGCCCACACGGTCCCTAGAAGGGAAGAGGACCTACTCTGTGTGGAAACCGGTAACGTTCCTGCGGCGCGCACGCGCAGTGCACCGCGGCGCTGCCCGAGTCCCGCCCCTCCCTGGACACAGCCCCGACCGCGCCTGGTGGGAGGCGGCCCGCGGTGCTTCTGACCCACGGCGGGCTGCTGTTGGAGGCAGGGGAGGACAACGCGGCACGGAGGACAAGAGAAGTGTTTTCAGCAGCTGCAGGGTTCTCGGGCCTGCGCCGAGCTGGGCACACCCGCGTTTGGGAAGCTGGTGTTGACCTTCATACGGTTTTTCCCCTTGTTGCTGCCACGGAGCCCAGGACCCCACACACGCTGGGCAAGTGCTCTGCCGCCGACCCACCCCCCAGCCCTCGCCTTTTTCTTTCTTTCTTTTTTTGAGACAGGATCTCGCTGAGTTGCCCAGGCTGGGCTTGACCTTATGATCCTCGTGCCCCAGCCTCCTGAGTCACTGGGATGACAGACATGGCCACCCCAGGTTGAGTCTTAGATGTCATCACAAGGCGCTTTATAAGAGGGAAGCTTGGCAGATCTGGAGGACAGGTGACAGTGGAGGTGGGGACAGTAGTGATGTGTCCACAGGCCAATGGATGCCAGAAGTCCCCAGCCGCAGGGAGAGGCCGGAAGGACCCGCCCCTGGAGCCCTGGGAGGGAGCTCAACCCGCCCACCCTGCACTTTGGTTTGCAGCCCTCGGTGGGAGGTCACTTGTTGTAACAATGTTACTATTGGGGTATCCCCAACAAAGGATTGAGCAAGACCTGTAGGAGTAACGGCCAGCGCAGGTCCACCGAAGCTGGAGGGGTGGCGCTGTGAGGTGCCGCAGAAAGGCCAGCGAGAGGGGCGGAGGCGGCGTGGGCATCTCCTGTCCTGCGTGCTGGGCGGACCTGACTGAAGACCTCGCCCCACTGGCTCCTGCTAGATGTTTTAGGGCACCAAATTCTTGGCGTCATCATGAGTGATGAGCCCTCCTGGCGAGAGTCGTCACGGTGACGGACAGGATGACTCATGTCCAGTCTAGCCCTCCACTACCCTGCCTCCCATCACGGAGACCCTGAACTCCAACCTGCAGCCAGAGAGGGCCCAGCTTCCTGGCTGCTGGGCCCCCAGCTCAGCCAGGCCTGGCCCTCCCGACCTCGTCCTCCAGGGCCATGGCAGCTCACCGGGACCTGGCATGGCTTCCCAGGCTCCCAGTCCCTCCCACCCCTGCACAAAGCCCTGGCTTCCACCCCCAGCTCCACAAAAAACAAAACCACAACTAAAACTACCCCCGAAGGACACTGGCCCCCTCTTGTGCCTGGGAGCTGGGCCGTGGGCACTCTCAGAACAGGGCGGCTCGCAGGGTGCTGGTCATGAAAGGAGCAAAGCTGCCCACTGGGCACCTGCTGGAGTTCAGAGGTGACAGACACCCTGCCCAGCTGCCACGTGGCAACCAAGGCCCAAAGCCCCTTTTGGAGTGCTTGAGAATGTTCCAGAACTAGATGGCTGCATGTTGTACAGGTTCTCAGTGCCACCGGACGTGCTCCCGGGGTTGATTCTGCCTGGCACCGTGGCACGCGCCTTCATCCCAGCCACTTGGGAGGCTGAGGCAGAAGGATCACAAGTTCAAGGCCGGCCTCAGCAACTTATCGAGGCCCTGCCTCGCAGTAAAAATAAGAAAGGGCTGGGGTGGAGCTCAGTCGTAGAGCTCCCCTGCGTTCAATCCCGGGTACAAAAAAAGGTCACTCTTAGGCTGTGTGATTCTCACCTCAATTACAAAAACAGCCTAGTCCTGAGCTTGGCTGACGCTCAGGCCCCCCGCGGGGCCCCTCTCCGCCTTGCTCTGCAGGCTCCCCCAGCCCCTCCTGCCTCCAGGCCTGGTCCTGGTTGGCCCCCCACCCCTGCAGCCCCCCCACCTGCTGCCGGGCACCCACACCTGGCCCAGCAATGCCAGCACTCCAGGGGACTCCTCACCCAGCGTCCCAGGATGGTCATCAGGGTGAGCCCACACTGTCCGTTCCCACCCCCTACCTGGCAGAGATGTGTGACTGCTGCCTCGGTACCTCTGTCACCCAGAGTCCTGGGCCTGGTTCCATTCGGACCCTGGGAGAGGCCCAGCCCCTCAGTCCTGCAGCCAGCAGACGCCTGCAGGTTCCCGCTGAGGGAGGGGACAGCCACGGGAGGTGGGAGAGGGTCAGACCTCAGACTCACTCCTCACCATGTGTGTGACCCTGGGCCAACCATGTCACCTCTCCCTGCCTCGCGTTCCTCCTCTCAGTAACATGGGGGCTGTGTGAGGTGGATCATAAGCTGTTACCCACGTTGGCTGCTGTATTTATTATCATCATTTTTGGTGCTGGGGATGGAACTAGGGCCTCACACACGCTAGCAAGCGCTCCATTACTGAGCTGTGTCCCCAGCCATTTTTTTTTTTTTTTTTTGGTACCAGGGATTGAGCTCTATTTTGTATTTTATGTAGAGACAGGGTCTCACCGAGTTGGTTAGCACCTCGCGGTTGCTGAGGCTGGCTTTGAACTCGCGGTCCTCCTTTCTCAGCCGCCCAAGCCACTGGGATTATAGGCGTGCACCACTGCGCCCGACCCCAGCCCTTTTTATTTTATTCTGAGACAGAGTCTCACTAAGTGGCTGAGGCGGAGGCGGAGGCCTCCTCCAACTTGTATCCTCCTGCCTCAGCCTCCGGCATGGCTGGGATGACAGGCGTGGCCTTCTCACCAAATCTGTGATTGTTTTCACCCACTGAATTGGTTTCATTCCAGAGAGGCTTGGGGCCAGAAAGCACCTGGAATCACAGAGAGCAGAGCCAGGGGCCCTGGGTGCACCTCGGGGGCCTCCCTGCAGATGGGCAAGAAAGCAGAAGCCCGCGGGAGCCGGGCCTTCTGGGGCTCCTCCCTCCACATGGCACCTGCCAGCGACCCACTTTCCCTCTGGACACACACAGGCCAGACCTCCCTTCTAGGTTATAGTTTATTATGTCCCACAAACCCCCCGGAGCTCATGGAGATGACGTCTTCACATCACGACAGCGATCATGGTCATTTCTGTGGTTAAAAATCACAAAACTCGCCTTCAGAAGGGTGCACGTGCGAACTGCCACTCTCAGGTCACAAGAGAGGAAGCCAATGTCCCCTGACAAGGAGGCCTGGGTCCACTGCCTCTCGGCCACGCTGCTCCCCAGACGCAGCTCCACCGCAAGGCCCAGTCCGGGCAGCGTGTCCTGGACAGGGCGTGCGCACGGGGCTGTCCAGACACACCTGGCCACAGGTGGCCCCGGAGATGCGGCCTCCCGCTCGCCGGGCCTTCTTCCCTCTGGAGGGTCTGCTGTGGCCGGCAGGGGTGCTCGGCTACTGGCCTGTGGCTGCTGGTGATCCGAGGGGCGGTAGGTGCACTGGGCAGAGCCCGGGGCCCCACGAGGCGGATGGGCCTCCCTCACGCCGTCGCCCGCCGCTGTAGGCACTGGTTGTGGGAGGGTAGAACGGGCCCGTTCTGTCCCTGGCTCCTTCGTCCCACTGGGGGAGAACCCGGTCTTCAGTGAGGACGAGGCTTGGGGGTCACGGTCCTGATGGGCAAGGAGAGTCACAGCAGGCAGCCTGCCCTGGTCATCCGGACTGAGCCGTGGTGGCTGCGTGGCATCTGCCGGGGCCTCCCCGGAAGGGCCTGTGCTGTCCTGCGCAGGCTGTGGGGACGCGGGGCCTTCAGGGCCTCCTGTGGCTCTGGCTTCGCGGGGACCACCAGCAGAGCCCCGGGACCAGGTGCTGTGGGAAGAAGGGCTGCCCTGTGTGGTCAGTGAGGGATGGCCCTGGGCAGCAGGGTCTGGGGGCAGCCGACAGAGGCCTGTCTCGTGGCAGAGGCCGCCTCAGGCCCCAGGTGACATGTCTGTCCTGGGACACCATCACTGTCCTCGTCCTTTATTTGACATCTAGGAAATGGCGACTTAAACATCTCCATCCCCCGTGGTCCAGCCTCCCTAGGTCAGAAGTGGGTGTCCCCCAGGAGTGTCCCCGGCACAGCACAGTCGCTCGTGACGGGCTCCCAGGCCCAGGGCTCCTCAGAAGCTCCGTCGTCCCCAGGTGGGAGATGCTGGCGTGTGGGACAGGAGGCCGAGGCCACTGTCCCACGTGGCACCTCGTTGTGCAGCCCTGCCGAGCGGCCCTGACCACCACAGTGCCCCTGCTGGGCCAGGTCCACACCCGCTGGACGTTTCACCTGGCCAGGTCACCTGGACATCGATGGCACTTGCTGACGCGCCCACTCAGAGGCAGGAGGAGGGGCCTCGGAAGGTGCCTGCTGGACTTTTGCTTGGGTTCATCAGGGACAGAGACCAGTCCTGGAGGGCCAGCGGCGGCCACGTTCCGCAGACAGCAGACACTGCGGGTCCTGGGCTCACGGAACCTCCTGAGGCCTAGCCCCGGCAGGTCTGTCCGTCTTTCACCCGCCAGACCCCAGCTCCCTGGAGGAGGACCAGGTCCGAGCTGGGAACGCGGGTGCCCCCCCGCTCAGCACCCTGGGACTTATTTCCCACCATCTTCAGAAGCCTCCGTCTCCGGCCTCCCCCTGCAGCCTCCTCTCCCAGGTCTGCACTTCCAGAACCCGCCTGGCGCAGAGCTGGCTTCTCAGCCTCTGTCCTCAGTGGGAAGCCTGGGGTGTGTCCCAACCTGGCCCGGGGGTCAGGCCAGGGAGGGGGCACAGTTGTCCCCTTGGAAGGAGGTCCTGGTTGGATGCCCGGTGGCGTGGCGTTCCAGTTAAAGGGGCTTGAGCGGGTTCTAGACTGAGGCCGGTGGGTTTCGCCGCCGGACAAGGCGCCGTCTCATGCGATCAGCTCAGTGTCTCCCAGGGAGAGGGGGTGTCCTTGGAGGTGACAGGGGCAAGGCGAATGACAATCCAGGGGTGTGAACTGGGAAGTGAGGCTGAGGTCAGGCGATGCCCAGGCCTGGCCCTCGGGCCTGAGGCCGGGCTGCGGGGGCCACGTTCCAAAAGGAAAGGCACCGGACAAAACAGGGAGCCGGGGTGTCTGTGGCTCCAACCTGGACCACGTCAGGGACACAGGGACCTCAGCCTGTGCCCAGCACTGGCCAGGGCCAGCTAGGACAGCAAGAGGTGTCCTGTAGCCTCAGGGCCTGGGGCAGGGGCAGAGGTCACCAGGGCCCTCTGGAAGTGGGAAGAGCCGAGAGCCGGACCTTCTCCGGACACTCTAGCACGGCCTCGTTTTTAAAAAAATAAAATAAAATGTTTTGAAGCAGCTGAAAAGAGGCTGGGGCTCAGAGGTGGGTGGGGACAGGGCCGGCCGGGGACAGGGACGAGGCGAGCAGGTGCGGGCTGGAGGGCGTCTGTCGGGTTTCTTGGCATCTGGAATCTTCTTTTGTCTTCTCCACGCTCAGCCACCTCAGGACATGCTGGGGACACACACAGGCCAGCTAAAGTGGAGAATGCCCTTCCCCGTGGGTGGGGTCCAGAAGAATGACCCCCCCAGCCCCAGAGCCTTTCTAGCAGGAGTGGCTTCTGCTCTTCAAGGCAGGTCACCTGCCACCCACCTACCCATGTGGCTTTGACAGGAGCCTCCCTCCTGGTGCCCCAGCAGAACAGGTCCCAGGGACTGTGATCCTCGTCCAGACTGGACAGAGGGGTCCACCCACCCATCTGTCCACCCACCATCCGTCCACCCACCCACTGACCACCCGCCTATCCATCTGTCTGTCCTCCTTCCTTCAACATCATCATCTGTCCACCAATAAGCAGCAGAGTTGACACTCTCTGGGGATTTTGAAGGTGATGACACGTTTAAAAGTATAAAAAGGCAAAAGAAGGACTCGTAAGAGTGATGGGTCGGTGATGTCACCTGGTCATTAGCAACCTGCCTGTGTGACTGCACCCCTGCCGTACAGGGCAGGGTGATCGGCTTGGGTGACCACTGCCCTGCACTCCCGGGGCAGCACCCCTCGCCCCCAGTAAGCCGTGGTGCAGCTGTCCCGAGGCTGGGCTCCACTCAGAACACTCGGAAAAGGTCACCAACCACCCAGCGTCACACCCACCTCGTTTCCTGATCCTCGGTGACCAGGTCAGGCCTGTGGGAAAAAGGAGACTCAGTGCCATTTACCTGTTTGGGGCCTGAACCTGACCTGGTCAGGACTGGGGCCCATGGGGACTGACTCTGCCTGGCCTTGGTCTGGTACAGAGAGGTGTCACCTGCCGGGTGACAGATGAGCCAGGGTGGGGGCTGTGCGGCCACAGGCCAGGCCCCTCACTGCTGCCATGAGTCCCCTAAAGCTGCTCGGGGCTCACAAGCCTGGGGAGGCTGAGTCTATGCACCAGGACGTTGACAAGGTCACCTTCTAGAACCTTCTCTGAGAGCAGAACTTGGTCTCCTGGTGTGTGCTGATGCAGGGAGAAGGAGGGGACGGTCCCTGTTGGGGGCCCTGACCTCAGGAAGCTCCGAGGGCAGAAGACACGTAACAGGTGACCAGGGAGCTACTTACTACACACCAACCTCACTGTGAGCGGCTCCCCGTCACCGGGCTTGGCTCCTGTGGCACTGGAGGGCCATCTGGAAAGAGCCCCTCGGGGCCCCTGAGGCTAGACCAGGTGCTGGGGGCCAGGCAGCCGTGGGTGTCACCCCTCGCCCCGTGGCCACCTGCACACTTACCTGTCCTCCTCTGACGCTGCCTCTGCCCTCTCTTCAGACCTGGGCAGGAGGAACTCTGGCTGGGGCCTCGCACTGTGGACAGAGAGCACCAGGTGACGAGATGGGCAAGCGGGCTGTCTGGCCCGGGCTGATGGTGGCCTGGGGACGGTTCAGGGCTAGTCGTGCTGGGCCCGGGGTGGAGACAGGTGCACTGCTGTCCAGTATGGGAGCGTCCTGGTCATTGGCAGCCATAGAAGTGGGCCTGAGGGGCCCCGGGGAGGAAGACCCTGGGCCCTGCCTTGGGGGCCCTGGGGAGGGGCCCTGGGTTGCTCCTCCACAGACGCTGTGGCACCTGCGGTCACGTGGGTGTGGGTGCTGTCTGCCTGTCCATCTCTCAGTTGAGGACTGGGCAGCACAGTTCACAGGGGAAGGTCAGGGGCAAGGACAGGTGGTGACCACACACCGGGGCAGCACTGTGGGCAGGCCAGGAGCTGGCCGCGCAGCGCTGGAGGCTGTAGCAGGGGAGAGTCGGCAGGAGGGGCCTCAGGGGCCACACTGAGGGGCCTGTGACCCTGTGACCCACAGTCCCCCTGTGGGGACATGCTCAGAGGAGTGGACTGCAGGGATGTGGACAGCCCTCATGCCCATGTGAGGGGCGTGAGGAGAGGGTGGCACCTGCTACCTGCCACCCCTGCTACTGGACCTGGGACGTGGTGTCCACCTCCTGGGAGGTGCCCGAGCCTTGGAGCCATTGAGACGGGAGGTGGCCTGGTGGGCGCCGGGTGGGGGGACCCCAGCTGGTGTGGAGGGACAGAGCTTCAGCCTGGGGAGACGGAGAGCCCTGGAGAGGGTGCATGGCTCTGGGTCTGCCCCCTGCCCTGAGCTGTGCCCCTGGACAGGGGCAGGGGTCGGTTTTATGTCGTGTCTATTAATCACGACAAGGACAGGCGGGAGGAGAGAGGCGGGAGGGGGAGAACCTGGGCCACCTGCCCTCCCCATCTGCCCAGGGCACTCCTACCTGGGATCCTTTCCTCACCCAGCGAGGTGTCTCTGTCCTCTGCTATTTGGTCCAGGACTCTGTCATATTTACCTCCGTTTTCCCTGAGCCTGTCATGACCCACCAAGAGCCCCAGCTCTCTCATGGACTTGCTGTGTGACCTCGGGCAGGTGCCTTACCCTCTCTGAGCTTCCCTAGGCAACTCTCAGGGGTTGTGAAAGCCTCCAGGAGATCTCTATAAGTGGGAAGGGCTGAAACATTCCTGGAATTCTGTGAACACTGCTGATGGTTGTGCATGTGTGTGGCGAGGGGCAGGCCTGCCTTCCCTCTGCAAAGGGAGAGCTCAGCACCAGGGCAGCCAGGGTCCTGTGCTGAGCGTGAGCTCTGGTCACCCTCACCGCCCAGGGGTTTTACGCTGTTCCTGGTTTCCCAGAACACCCTCCAAGGTGCTTCCAAGTACTTCCCTAAAGCCACTCTGGCCCACCTCAAAGCCCTCTCCTGAGCCCAGCGTGGACCTTCCTGGGTCCCGCTGAGCCAGAGCCAAGAGGCCACCCCTCGAATGACAGCCCCGTGCAGCCCCCGCCCCGGCAGCCCTCTCGAGGGCTCTGCACACACCTCTCTCTCCGCGCTCTGAGTCTTTCCTCTTCGTACCTGAAAGAAAGAAGCCGAGCTGGGCGCAGCCTGCTCTCCCGAGGGGGAGGGTTCTTGCTGGGGAGTGACCCTCTCGCGCTCTCTGTGCTGGGCTGGAGCCCAGGACTTTGCACATGCGAGACGCACCCCAGCCCTCTGGTTTGGGGCAGAGAAAGAATCCTGTGGTTGTGGCTGCCCGCACCGGGCTGCAGAGCAATAAGGAGCCCCCTGAGCGGCCACCTTGCCCCGCGCCTCGCCTGCAAGACCCCGAGCAGGGAGGGTCTGTTCCGCTGGCGAGTCCGGCATCTGCACAGAGGGGCGATTGGCTGACTGGTTTTTGCCACCAGCGATTGGGCAGGACCCTCCCATCACAAGGCCCCGGATGCTCGGGAGGCAGGACCCACATCCAGCTCCACAGTCGTTCTCTGTGAAGGGCCCCGAATGCGAGTTCCCAGCTTCAAGCCCCAGGCAGTCTGTTCTGACTGTCCCACTGGGCCACCACTGCAGAAATGCAGTCACAAGTGACTGGTGACCCAGGGGTGTGCCACCATGTCAATAAAACTTTATTTATGGGGCTGGGATTGTGGCTCAGCGGTAGAGCGCTCGCCTAGCACGGGCGGGACCCGGGTTCGATCCTCAGCACCACATAAAAATAAAGGTATGGTGTTGTGTCCATCTACACCTAAAAAAAAATATATATTTTTTAAAAAAACTTTATTTATAAAAATGAGCAGAGGAGCCAGGCGCGGTGGTGCACGCCTCTCATCCCAGCAGCTCTGGAGGCTGAGGCAGGAGGATCCTGAGTTCAAGGCCAGCCTCTGCAATGGCAAGGCACTGAGCAACTCAGTGAGACCCTGTCTCTAAATAAAATATATAAAAAAAAGGGCTGGGGCTGGGGCTCAGTGGTTGAGAACTAGCACATGTGAGGCATTGGGTTCAATCCTCGGCACCACATCAAAACAAACAAATAAATAAAGGCATTGTGTCCATCTACAACTAAAAAAAAATATTTAAAAAAGGGCTGGGGATGTGGCTCAGTAGTTAAGCACCCCTGGGTTCAATTCCTGGTACAATATATACATATAGAATTTCATAGCTACCTTTTTTTTTTTAAATGGTGCTGGAGATGCTCCCTGGGCCTCACACATGGCCAGGTGAGCTCTACCACTGAGCCTCACCCCAAATCTTTGATGCATTTTCAATTATTAATGTCTAGGTTGCAAAAATATATTCTGAACAGAGACCAAAATGTAAATATGGGGAGCTGATACACATAAGGCCTGCTTCCTGCCAGCGCTGGGCCACAACTTGGGCTTTCTAGACTCACAGTCTGGTCACCGTGTGACCTCAGGGAAGGACAAATTGTGACGGTTCCTTTGAGGTGCAGGAACAAATCAGGATTCTTTAATGTGGCCGGTGGGAAGGGGACATGAGGCGGCTGCTGGGGAACCGAGCCGTGGTCCCTCAACAGCTGGACGCGGAGTCGCCTCCGAGTCTACTGCTGGGCCCACCCGTGAGAGCTGGTGGGGTCTCCAGGGAGCACGTCCAGGTCGCAGCAGCCACGGGGTGGAGAGGCCGACGCCCCCACCAAAGTGGGGCTCAGGGTGCGGCCAGCCACACACTGGTGTCACTCGGTCTTAGCGGAAGGGCACCCAATGCCTGCTGCCCGGGACGGACCTGGGACCCGGTGCTCAGTGACACAAGCCACACACAAGGGACACATGGCAGCCTCCACCCCAGGGGATCCCTGGAGTCTCAGAGCCGCAGAGAAGCAGCGTGGTGGGAGCCGGGCTGGGGGGACGGGAGCGGGTGTGGAGGGTCAGAGCTCCATCCTGGGGGACGAGGGAGCTCTGGAGGGGGTGGTGGGGACGGCCGCTCAGCCCGAGACTGTCCCGTGCCCCTGAGCTGTGCTTGGACACGGGCAACGTGGTCAATTTCGTGGTCTGTGGGTTCACCACAGTTTTGAACCTGATGCTGAGGAGAGCTGGGTGGCATGGAGCCTTGGGGACCTGTTGACATCATTCTTAGTGAAAAAAAGGGCAGGACGCGTGGCTCGCCCCCCCCATCCCCCCCCCCACCTGGCCGGACCCCAGGGGCTCCAGGAAGCAGAGCCTGGGGCAGGGAGCCCGGGGCGGGGACCCCCTCCCAGCGGGTCGGCTGGTGGGGCGGTGGCGGCGTGGGGGACACTCACTGCAGCACACACTCTGGGATCTGCACGTGCTCCATGGGGATGAGCTGCTCCAGGTCCTCCAGGCTGTGCACGTACTGGATCTTGCTGATGAACTTGACGCTGCAGGACGGGGGGGCGTCTGAGTGCCCAGAGAGCCCAGGAGGCCCTCCCCGCAGCCCAGCACTGCCCAGCCAGGGACGGGCTGGGGACTCCAGCGCTTTCGCTCCTCGGCCGATTTCCCCAGGGATGCTTTTCCTCGGAGGCGCTGCCCGCGAGGGCACCACGCACAGCCACTCGGGCCTGGGAAGTGGGTCGCAGGCCTCCGCCTGCTCCTCCTCCTCCTCCTTTTCAGTGCTGGGAGCTGAGCCCACTGCGGAGCTGCCCCCGCCCTGTTTATTTATTTATTTTGAGATGGTGTCTGACTAAGTCGCCTGGACTGGCCTTGACCGGCCTTGACCTTGCATCCTCCTGCCTCAGCCTCCGGTCACCGGTCTGCCAGTGCATGTGCCAGCTGTCACAGCCCGTCCTGGGGACAGTGCTCGCTTCCTGTTGGAGCCTGGGCTCTGGCTGCAGGAACCCAGGAGGCACCTCGTTGGCAGCGCGGGGCTCAAATCTTTGTTTCTTTTTTTTTTATCTTTAATTAAAGCTAAATTTAAGAAATGCCATGAAACTTTTCAAGGTGACATAGCAAAGTCGTCACTGAGAACTGGGCTGCAGGAGGAAGGCCTGGCCCAGGTTGGCAGCCGCAGGGCTTTGTGTCTGGGCTTCTGTGTTTGGACGTCCCCTGGAAACGGCTCAGCTTCCTGGAGGACTCTGGGGACAGAAGACGCTGTGGCCGGCGGCGGCCCAGGGCCAGGGCAGGAGCAGAACCTATGCAGATGTTTCCTGGCCGTTGCTGAGTGGCCATCTGTGTCCCGGGGCCAGGAGGACGCTTCTACAAACTTCAGATTTATTTTGCAATCTGAAAGCCCCTGGAGCAGTGTCCCTGTGGAGCGCAGTGTCCCAGGACCAGAGGCCCCAGCAGCCGGTGTGATAGGGCCAAGGTCCACCGCACCTGGAGAGGCCGCGACTCCGGCCATCTCGATGCGCTCCCCCAGCTCCTCGGAGAGTCCTAGACCGTCAGTCAGCGCTACAGCCTAGAGCTGCTCCCCGGGCCGGCACAAGCCTCACAGTGACAGGGACACAGTGCCATCCCACCATCAGGAGCCGAGTCTCCTTCCCTGAGGGAACTGGGGGACATTCCACCCAGGCCAGGCGCTCAGTCCAGATTGCCCCGACAGGACAGCGGGTCCTCAGCACCGTGGGTGCTCGGCCGCCTGCAGCTGCCATTCCGGGCTCCTGGCTTCTCCTGGGGAACTCTTGCGCCCACGATCTCTTTGGAGCCCCCAAAGAGACCCAGGAAAAGAAACCCAAAGTGACAGAACTGCCCATGTTAAAGGCAAAGGCCCAGCTAAGGCAGCCTGTGGGGAGCAGGGCGGGCACGAGGCCCCCACCCTGGAGGGCACGCTCGGCCTTCCTCGGGGAAATTGGTCATCAGCGTGATCTGCTCAACAGAAAATAAACACATTAGCATAATATGCTAATACACATGCAATCTGCATGATATGCAAATAAACGTGTGTGGATCAGCCCCAGGAGGGGCCCTGGCAGGCCCTTGAGGCAGACCTGAGCTGGGGGCGCAGGGGCAGGGCCGGCCCCTAGCTCCCCCAGAGCCCCCCTAACTCCCCCAGAGCGTCTCAGCATGAGACTGAGGGAGCTCAGGACCTTTGTTTAACTCAGTGTCTGAATTAAGTAAATTAAACCTGCATGACATCGCCCGGGGTCAGGGGCATTTAACACACTAAGCGTCTTCTCAGCAGACCTGCGGCGCTCGGGTCCGGACAGTCCAGAGGAAGGTGACCCGTGGGCTCTGGAGCGTCTTTGTTGACTGGGGGCCGTGAGTGATGACACATGGTCCCTGCTGAAGATGGGACTCGTGGGACCCTGGCGGAGCTGGAGTCTGGCCAAGGTCAGCCCCACAGGGGTTCTGCCTTGTGTGCATGGGCCCCCGACAAAAATCCTGGGTGCCCCATTGCTGGGAGAGTTAGGAGGGTCCCCGAGTGACCCCCCAGAGGGGACACGGGCTGCGTGGGCTCTCCGGGGCCTCCTCTCATCTTCTCTCGGGTTTTCATCTGTATCTCTCGCTGGACTGACGGGGACTGATCACAGCAGCTCCCCTGAGTGAGTCTTGGGCCACAGCCCCCCCCCGTGGTTCACGGCCCAGTGGGTCCCAGGCGTGGAGGGGGCTGGCTGGGTGACACTGTCCGGGGGACCCATTGGCCCACACAGGTTCTTCAGTGGGTGGAGCAAGGCTCGCCTCCCGAGTGGCCTTGCCGTGTCATTCTCGGTGAGTTCTTGACCCTTCTCGGGCCTCGGTTTCCCTGTGCCCAAGACTGGGGCAGTGACAGCAGCCTCTCAGGTAGCGCTCAGCCTGCGGAGCCGCTGTGGCTGCCAGTCCCCCTGCGGGCCCACACCCTGCCCGCACGCACATGTGGAGGTCTGAAGTGGGGCCAGGCACAGTGGCCATGGCTGTCCTCCCTGTGGCTGGGAGGCTGAGGCAGGAGGATCGGGAGTCCAAGGCCAGCCTGGGCGACTCAGCAAGGCCCTGAGCAACTGAGCAAGACCCTGTCCTAAAATAAGACAAGAAGGCTGGGGTCCAGCCGGGCGGGGGCTCTGGGTCCACCGCAGTGCGGAAAACCAAACGAAAATACCAAGTGCGGGGAGGGGAGTGTTCCAGACTCCAGTTTTAAGGCATTTTTGGAATATTTTCATACAAATATAAAGTGTGTGATCCTTCAGAGGGGCTCAAACACGGAATTCTCTGTGCTTCCTGTGCACCCCAGGCACGCAGCCCGAGGGGGATCTTGTGCAGACGTTTTTGGTGAAGCTGCATTTTGACCGAGAAGCGTCCCGGGGTCGGGATGGAGATGGCCACTCGCAGTCTCATTCCACTGAATGAGGAGCGAGCGCTTTAGATTTTGGATTTGGGATCTTTGCATTGGCAAGCCCGGTCAAGGCAAGGGCAGCAGATGTTCTCGAGCAGCTAGAGACACACCCGTGGAACCCACCGCTGCCTGTCACTAGCCGCTGGCTGCTTGCCTTACCTGATGAAGGGGCGGGAGATGGCCAGCACGGTGCGAATGAACCAGGAGGGGTGGACGATGATCAGGGACTTCAGGTTCTTCCGCAGTCTGTGTGGGAGGCACAGGAGACCAGTCGGCCCCGGGGCAAGCCCTGGGAGGTGGGAGGGCCACCGCCTGGCCCCGTGGCTCTGGTGGCCTGCCCATAGAGAGCTGAGTTGGGAGGGACCCGCTGTGGTAGCAAGGGGTCCCGGTGGGCAAGGCATAAGCTGCTGAGACTTGTCACCATCCAGTGTCCTGGATGGTGAGGGCCCAGGGTGGCCTCTGCTCACACGGGGCTGGGCGCAGGGTGTGTGGGCAAGAGGTGGAACAGCCCCGCCCTCCTCTGAGGGACAACGGTCCTCCCAGGCGGGGACGCTCCTCCTGCGGAAGGAGGGGGCTCTGATTCCGCTGCCGCTGGAGGGACTGAGGAGGAGGAGCCACCCAGGGGCAGAGCCCGTGCAGGGACCCGCCCCGTAGGACCTTCCTACAGGCTCCTGGATGGGCAGGACTGAGGGGCAGGGGGGCCAGCCGGGAGGCAGCTGCACAGTAGCGCGTTCACAGCAGGCGTCGTGCAGTTAAAGGGACAGCAAAGGTGAGGCCCCCTTAGCCCAAATGACTGCTGTCCTTAAGGGAGAAACCTGGTCACAGGCTCCAGCCGACGCTGGGCAGGGTCTGGACACTCTCGTTTGGGCCCAGGGGCCAGGCCCGCCCATCTGGGCTCCAGGACGCAGCAGCCAGTAGCTATTTGAGACTCCACCCGCCCACCCGCGGGACGCCCCTCACCTCCTGTCAATCATCTGGTAGCACTTCTTCAGCCAGCCGAGGCCTGGCATCCTCCGCCGGGGCGTGGCGCCGTTCAGGTACACGATCATGTAGTCCTCGGCCACCAGGAGCTCCAGGCTGCTGATGACGTACCTGGCGGGTGGAGAGGGCACGCCCGGGGGCGCCCCGTGTGAGGACACCCACGGGGCCGCCCTGGCTGGGCCGGCGGGTCTGCACAGGCCGGCCCCTGTCCTGGAGGCTGGGGAGACGCCGTGGGCGCCCCTCAGCAGCCCCGGCTGTTTTATTGAGCATTTACTAGGTGCCAATCACTTGGTGTGCACACTCTCATTCAAGGTTTCCCGAGACCCACCCTAAGAATGGGTGTGGCCCTGACCATCCACAGCTGGGGGACAGCGGCCTACAGAGGCCTGCGTGGGAACACAGTCCACCTGCTCTGGAATCTGGAGGCCTGCCTCTCCCTGTGTGATTTCACATAAATGCCCCCCAGCCTCGGCCTCTCATCTGGGGAGACTGGGCCCCGGGACACGTGGGCAACTTCCTGTGCTGGCCTTCATGGGCACCTCCTCTGGTCTGAGGGGCCGCCCAGCCTCCGTGGAGAGCCCCCCAACATGGCTGGGCAAGGTGGATGTGGATGGGAGGTGAGGGGGACCAGGAGAAAGGCCATCTGGCAGCTACTTGCGCCCTGCCCGGGCCCTCGGGGGACCGTCGGTGTCTGACTTGCTGACAGCCCTGGGGGTCAAGGGCACTTGGAGAGCCGGCGAAGGTGGAGAGAGAGCTGGGTGAAGGAGACCCCGGAGAGAGGGAGCGAGGTCAGGGTCGGCCTGGTCACCGTGGACTCTGGGGCCAGGTCACTCCTGCGGCGGGCATCCTGGGCGCTGCCGTGGGTGGAGCAGTGTCCCTGGCCTCCCACGCCATGGGCGCCCCCACACTGCCCAGGCCACTTTGTCCTTACCAAGCCCTCCTCTGTGTTGGGTCCAGCCTGGCAGCCGAGTCACGCTGTGCGAGGAAATCTTAGTAATAACAAAGATAAGAGCCGTGATGACTTCCTGCGCTCTTAGCGTTACCTGCTGGGTGCCTGCCACGTATCAGCCCTAGCCGTCACAGTGGGGCTGCCCCTGTGTGTCCCTGGTGGTTCATGACCTCTCTGTGCCTGGATTCCCCACCTATAGAATGTGAGGCAACGGGACCCACCACGTAGGGTTGTGGTAAATATGGGCCATGCTGGCATACAGGAAGTGCCTCGCCTTGCGCTGCCACACTGTAAATGCTCAATAAATGATGGTGATGATGGTGAAGGCAGTGGTGATGGTGGTGATGGTGGTGGTTATGATGGTCATGGTCATGGTGGTGATGGTGATGGTAGTGGTGATAGTGGAGATGGTGATGGTCATAGTGGTGATGGTGATGGTGGTGGTGATGGTGGTGATGGTGGTGGTTATGATGGTCATGGTCATGGTCATGGTCATGGTGGTGATGGTGATGGTAGTGGTGATAGTGGAGATGGTGATGGTCATAGTGGTGATGGTGATGGTGGTGGTGATGGTGGTGATGGTGGTGGTGGTGGTAATGATGGTCATGGTGGTGATGGTGGTGGTGGTGGTGGTAGTGGTGGTCATGATGATGGTAGTGGTAGTGATGATGATCATGGTCATGGTGGTGATGGTGATGGTGGTGGTGATGGTGGTGATGGTGGTGGTGATGGTGATGGTGATGGTGGTGGTGATGGTCATGGTGGTGGTGGTGGTGATGGTGATGGTGGTGGTGATGGTGGTGGTGGTGATGGTGGTGATGGTGATGGTGGTGATGGTGATGGTGATGGTGGTGGTGATGGTCATGGTGGTGGTGGTGGTGATGGTGATGGTGGTGGTGGTGATGGTGGTGATGGTGATGGTGATGGTGGTGGTGGTGGTGGTGGTGGTGATGGTGATGGTGGTGGTAGTGGTGGTGATGATGATGGTGGTGGTGGTGATGGTGGTGATGGTGATGGTGGTGATGGCGATGGTGATGGTGTTGGTGGTGGTGATGGTGGTGATGGTGATGGTGATATTGGTGGTGGTGGTGGTGATGGTGATGGTGGTGGTGGTGGTGGTGATGGTGATGGTGGTGGTGATGGTGGTGATGGTGATGGTGGTGGTGGTGATGGTGGTGATGGTGATGGTGGTGGTGGTGATGGTGGTGATGGTGATGGTGGTGGTGGTGGTGGTCATGGTGATGGTGGTGGTGGTGATGGTGATGGTGATGGTGGTGGTGGTCATGGTGATGGTGATGGTGGTGATGGTGGTGATGGTGATGGTGGTGGTAGTGGTGGTGGTAATGGTGATGGTGATGGTGATGGTGGTGGTGATGGTGATGGTGGTGGAGGTGGTGGTGAGGGTAGGGAGGTTCTGGAGGAAGGCCACGGATCAGTAGCAGCCGGTAGGGCTCCAGTGAAGGTCTGTGGCAGCCATGCCCTTCCCTGGTGCCAGGCGGAGCCTCCCAGAGCCTGCAGCCTGGCTCCCTGGCCTGAGCCCGCAGACCTGGGTGTCTGCACCACGGTGGCCCAAGGTGCTGGGGTGGGTGGAGACTTACAGGAAGAGGTTCTCCATGATGTAGTGGTAGTCAGGGGAGCTGCTGTCCGGGAGGAAGCAGGCCGCAAAGACGATGATGGCGTTGAGGCCTTCGCCATAGTACCCTGGGGAGAGGCAGTCGGAGTGGCTGAACAGGCCCAGGCATACCTGGCCAGTGCTGTCCAAGCTCTGAGCCGTCCCAGGCCCACCGTGTCATCAGTCACCCTTCCCCCACCCACATGCTCGGGAAGATAACTGCCCTGAGCCGCAGCAACCTGGCAGGGAGCTGAACCCCCCAAGCAGTCTCTGCCTTGGGTGGAGAACAGCAGCCATTGTCCTGGTCACCACGCGTGTATCTGCCACACCCACCTTGTCCTAGCCAGCCACCCTCCTCCAGCGAGATGAAGGCTTAGAATTCCCAGAGAGCAGAAGAAGAAACCAGGTCCAGAGGGGACCCCTGAGGGCCCCCAGCTGCCCATCATTCCTGGACCACAGGAGGGCAGGGGTCCCAGGACGCCAGGCTCACCTCCATGGGTGACCACCTTCATGTATGGCCGGATCATGTGCAGGTCAATGCGGTGCTCTTGTTCCCCAATGATCACCGTCCGCCACAGGCGCCCGTTGGCGGCACTGCCATCCTCTGCTGCGCCGTCCCCAAACAGGTCTGCACTGTCACCGGGCATGTTCTTGGCAGTGGCCACAGGGGTATCATCTGGAAGCACGCCGGGGTGAGCAGAAGGGCTGCTGGAGTCCAGACATCTCGTCCACCCTCCCTGTCTCCCTCTCACGGTTCCCACTGCTGCCGGGGGCCGCGTGGCTTCTCCCACCTGGCTGCTGTGTCCCCATCTTCCTCCCTTCCCCCCAGCCTGGCTCAAACCACCTCCTCCAGGAAGCCTCCCAGGATTGCACCCCAGTCTGCAGGCCACTCTGGCCCTCATGCCCCCTCCGCCCCCCCACCCCGGCCATTTCCCTCTTCTAAAAAAATCTTGTTTTTAATAACTTTATTTTATTTATTTATTTTTGATGCGCTGCTGAGCCTGAACCCAGTGCCTCCCCTGTGCCAAGCCCCAGCCCAGCCCCCTTTTTGCTCTTAAAACAGTCACTTTCTGCACACATTTCCCAACAGATGTGAGCAACTGGGAACAAAGGCCACAGGCGAGGGCCTGTGACCCCTGGTGTCAGCATCCAGCTGTCCTCTGTCCTCTGGGCACCTCACTCACACAGGAAAGACCGCCTGTTAGGGTGGGGCTGGGGGAGAAATGGGGGAACTGGGAGTCAGAAGCCACAGCCAAGTGCTAATGGACACTAGTGTTACCTTTACACTGAGGAGCGGAGAGTGGCCAGCAGACTGGCCAGTACTCGTCCAGTCAGGGGAGCTGGGTGGGGCCCGCTCCTACAGGACTCGCTGTGTGACCTTGCACACAGGACCTCCCTCTCTGGGCTCCCAAACTGCTCTGAAAATGGCCACCTCTCTAGGCTGGGCTCAGCGGCAGAGCGCTCGCCTGGCATGTGCGAGGCCCTGGGTTCGATCCTCAGCACCACATGAAAACCAACAACATAAAGGTCCATCAACAACTTAAAAAGAAAGGCCACCTCTGTGACACGTGTTCTTCTGGTCACAGCGTGACCGTGTGCCCCACGCTCAGGCCACAAACGTGCTGTCACCTTGACCCCTCTGCTCTTTATGCCCCTCACCCACCCAGCAACCACTGTGGGCTCCACTTCCAAGGGGACCCCGTCTGTCACTTCTCCACACCAGCAGGCCACCACCCCCCCCCGGCTAGTGTCCCCCCTTCCTCTGACCCCAGCTGCCCCTCTGGTGGCTCCCGGAAGCCTTTGCACACGCAGCTCGCAGTGGCCCTGGACTCCTCTGTCCTCCACCCCACGGGGTCGAAGCCAAGCCCCTGGCCGAGGCCACCTCAAGCCACACCCTCGGCTGCTGCTGCCCCTCTCCCCTCAGCCTTGATCGGCCCCGCCCCACGCCAGTCGCACTGCTCCAGCGGAGGGTCTCCTCTCCAACGTCCACCCTGTGCTGACCCCCGTGAAAGGGACCCCACCCTGTGGTCCTGGCCCAGGTCTCCCAGGGGCACTGTGGACACGCGGGGTCCTTCTCTGGGTGGTGTCCTGGGCACTGGCAGTGAGGGGCACTGCAGGCTGCCGAGCTACAGGCCAGGAGCTGCCCTCCTCCAGCAGTGACAACCGTAAGTGTCCCCAGACAAGGCCCAGTGTCCCACGGTGGGGCGGACGCGGTGGTGAGAGGCCCCGTGCCCAGCTTGGCTTCCTGAGGTCCCCGTGCGTGTGGCTGGTGCCCGGGGCACCCTGATCTCCTCGCCCATTGCCCAGCCTCTGCTTCCTGCCCCTCAGTGTCCACAGCCCTCCCTGGACCTCCAGCACCTGGGTCAGGACCTGGCCCCCACGAGTCCGCGTCAGGGGCAGGCTGGGAGCGTGTGCCCCGGCCACTGCTGAAAGCCACGTGCCCCAGGAAAGTCCACGAGCCTGCAGGAGCCCTGACCAAGGGTGGCCCCCGGTCAGTGCCCTGTGCAGCCTGCCGCTCCCGGAGCTGCCCGCCAGCGGGTGAGCCTGACTGGGGACAGGGTGGGGAACTGGGCGGCCGTGGTGGCCCCTGAAGCCCTCGGCCCTCACCTTCCCACTCAAGTTCATTCCCGTTCCCCAGAAACTCCAGCGAGTCCGTCTCGTCGGGGGTCTCGATGTCGTCCACGTTGATGTCCAGGTCATCGGGCGTGTCCAGGAAGTCATCGGACAGCAGGGAGCCTTCGCTTTGGTCCAGGGAGATGTTGATCTCCGGGGCCACCAGGGTCTTCCTCTTGCGGTGAGCTCCCCCGAAGTTCAGGGTGGTGGGCGGGGCTGCGGGAGAGACAGATGGAGCCGCCCCGTCCTTCTCCATCCCTCCTCCAGATCCCACCGCTCCCCACCTGCCCAGGGGAGCGCTCAGCAGCCTGCGGCTCCGAGTCCGGCACTGCCCTGTCCGGAGGCCCTGTTCCTATGGCCACCTGCAAGACAGGCCTGGCGGGGCGCGGCCATCAGGGTCTCTGGATGATGCGGTTCCGACCCCAGCAGCCCACCCAGTGCCCACGTGCTCTTGACCGCCCTGACCACGCAGGGTGAGCTGAGCGGCTTTCCCCTGGAGACCTCAGCTGGACCCTGGGCTCCCCAGGGGCTGAAGCCATTTGAGGGGACGCAGGGCAGAGCTGGCCTCCCACTCCCTGGACGGCGCTCCCTGCAGATGGAGCGTCCTCCCCACGCCTGCGGCTCCTCCAGATCCCACTGTGACATCCTGTGGCAGCAAGAGCTGTCTGTCTCCCGGACAGGAGCGCCAAGTGCTGTCCAGCCTAGGGTCACCTGCCACGGGGGCAGCGAGGGGCAGACCCCAGCCCCTTGGCTCACCCTGCCCTCCCCCCAGGAGTGGTCCAGGGCACAGATGCTTTCCCTGGCTGACGGGGCACCGTGACAGCAAGACTCAGGTCACGCCGTGACACTGGTCACCGGCAGGGAGGCAGGAGCCCCACCGCGTGGGCCCAGAGGGCAGGGATTTGAGCCAAAGAGGATTATCTCCAAGCTTTAAAATCATATGGAATTTGCTCTAAAAAAAATGGACTTTGGGAATCTGCCCAGGTCTCTGGCCTCAGGCTGGCTTGGGACCCTGAATGCTGGCCTTCCTGCGGCCCCGGCTTCCAGGAGGTGGCCCCGGCTTCCAGGTTCCCGCTGAGAGAATCCGCCCCCGGGGTCCGGGGACACCTGAGACTCAGCCAGGGCTGAGACGCCTGGAGACTTTGGACTGAAACTCGGGGCTGGGGGCTGGCTAGCGGGTGGAGCACTGTCCCCCTGGGCACCGGGCCCTAGGTGGACCCCAGCCACCTGGGCCTTGGACTTGCAGCCTCCAGAATGGAGAGCGAAGGAACCCACAGCTTTAGCTGCCTGGTCCCTGGGACCTCACAGCGGTCCCCGGAGAGCCACAGACTTGGTGGCAGGAGGGTGGCTCCTGGGATCCTGGTCCTAGGCTGGACATGGCCTGGGGATTTGGTGCTCTCCTCCTGCCCATGAACCGTTACTCCAGGAAGCCCAAAGGCCAGGCCGCACGGAGCCTGGGAGGCCCGGTCCCCAGGAGTGGACGGCCTGCGTCTCTTTCCTTCCTCCCCTTCTCCCTCCCTCTCCCTCTCTCTCCCCGCTCCTTCTCTCTCTCTCTCTCTCTGCTGACATGGAACCCAGGGCTTCCCACACTCTGCCCAGGGCTCCCCCACGCGCCACACCAGCCTTTTGTTTCATTTTGAGACTGGGCCTCGATACACTGCTCAGGCTGAACTTGCCATCCTCCTGCCTCAGCCTCCGAGTCCCTGGGACGGCAGGTGGGATCGGGTCAGGGGATCCCATGGGTGGAATTAGGGTTCTCCAGAGCACAGCGTCAGGGCATGTGTGTGCGTGGGGGGGGCACGTTTCAGGTGTGAGTGGTGGCCGTGGTGCCAGGTGGCCTGGCAGAAAGGACGGGGGACGGCCTGGCGGGAGCCCTCCAGCTCTCCTGGCAGCTCCCTTCCTGGGAATTTCAGCCTTTCTCCTAGAAACCCTCAGCTGAGCAGCCGCGTGGGGAGCGGCCCAAGGTCCCTGCTGGGGTTGAGAGCCCAGGAGAGCCTAGCGCAGAGGCCCCTGCTGGCTGCTCGCAGCCCCAGGGACGGGCCTCCCTGAGCATCCCTTGGACACTGAGCTGGGTGCAGCGATGCAGGGCAGTGGGAGGACTGGGCAGATTGGCTGTCACTGCTGTGTGACCTCAGGGGCCTGCCCGTCCCCCTGATTAGGTAGGGTGGGCACCGTGACGGGACACGTGGCAAGATGCAGGCGGAGCTGGGTCCCCGCAGAGCTCAGCACAGAGACGCCAGGGCTGAGAACGCAGGGCTCGGGCAGCTTGCCAGACTCCCGGGCGGCCTGTGTCCAGTCTGGGGCTTTGGGTCCTCGGAGCAGTCTGGGTGGCACGGCCTTCCGGGGCTGCCCAGGGCTCCTCTGACTCCGATCCTGGCATCCCCTGGGTACCTTGCATATGTCACCTCATTTCACCCCTATATACTTCCTCTCCAAGAAGCCTACTACCTGTATTTAGTAGAGGGGGGATCGGGAGGCACAGAGAGGCTGAGTAGGACACACAGCAAGGCATTGTGCTCTCTTTGTGACAGGGCTCTCACCGACATGGCCGCCTGCCCTGCAGGCCTGGCCACCCTTCCCTGACTGCCCTCTCAGGGTACGTGGCCTCTGATGTTCTTTACAGTGACAGCCCAAGGCAGAGCCAAAGCAGACACCAAGTTCCCACTTCCCCCCGTGGGCGGACTTACAGGACGTGTCTTCCACGGGGCTGCCAAGCAACTCCATGCCCGTCTCTTCTGGGAGCGGCCTGAGGACCCAGCCAGGAAGGAGCATGGAAATCCACCAGAGGCGCAGGGCGACCCGGGCATCCGGCCAGGCGCGTGCAGACAAAACAGGGTGGACAAGGCACCGTGAGAGCTGGGAAGCCTCCGTGCCGGGCTCCTCCCAACCCCCGCCAATGTGGCGCCCGCCTGGTCCGGGGGGCCGGGGCGAGCCGAGCCCTGAGGGAAGGATCCCGACTCTACTGTGGGAGAGAGGGCTCCCCGATGCGGCAAGCAGGACCCCAGAGGGCGAGGGACTCGCGAGTCAGCTTGAAGGACGCCACGGCCAACCCTGGGCGGCTGACAGCCAATAGCAGGATATTACTGGATTCTACTCCAGGTGGGAGGAGAATGTCCCCGAGTCTACGCTGATGGGAGCAGATGGCCACCGTGGACGGGGAGAAGGGACGGATCCTGGTGCAGGGGAGCTGCGGGTTGGGTCTGCAGACGTGGCCTCCAGGAGACGCATGACCCTCCCACAGGCCACAGCGTCCAGGGGAGGGGGCCACGCAGCGTCAGTCAGGTGGCCAAGCCCGCAGCAGCCCGCGGGCCCCTCTGCTCCTCCTCCCCTGGACCCAGGGATCCCTGAGAACGTCAGCCAATCTTGGTGGACGGCAGCCCTGTGGGGCACCAAGGAGCCCCCAAGACACCGTCACTGCTCCAAGGAGCCTGAGAAGATTTGATGACCAGCTGCCAGGTAGCATGGAAATGGGGTCCCACCACTGGAAAGGGACATTAGGGACAAAACTGAGAAAATCTGAATCCAGTGTGGCCTTCAGCAGCTGATAAGACGTGGACTTGGCCAGCGCCCCTGCCGCAGCAGGAGGCGGACCAGGAGAAACCGGGGCGGGCTCTGGAGCTCTTGGCACCCTCTTTGCAACATTTTTGCAAACCCGACTGTTGTAGATCAGGATTAAGAAACGCAGCCAGGCGTGCACGTCCCTCTGGGGCAGCCCTGGCCTCCTCCAGGGCTGGGGAGCTGAGCTCAGGTTTGCAGGCTGGGACCTCGTTCTGGCACCCCCGCCCGCCCTCCTTGGAGCCACCCAGGGCCCAGGCTCCTTCCTTTAAGTCCAGGAGGGGGCGGCCAGAGTCTTCCCTGCAGGGCGCTGGCCCCCTGGAGCCGCAGCGGGAGACTCACATCTGCTGGTCAGAGCGGCTTGGGGTGGGTGGGGGGGAGAGCTTCAGCCTGCGCCTCTTCCAGTCTGTCAGGGTGCAGCGGGTCTGTGCTCCCCTCCCCTCTGGTGTCCTTCGAGTAATTGCTGTGCCCCAGGGTGATCTGGGGGCCTGAGGTCCCGAATGAATCAGAGGTCGGCCTGATCTCGCGGGTGGAGGCCCAGAGCAGAGTGGACGCCCGGGAAAGAAAACCTACGTCCACAGGAAATCCGTGCTCAGGGTCCACAGCAGCACACCTCAGAGTTGGGCAGAGGGGACCACCCGGGTGACCACTAGGAGTGTCTCTCGGCCACCCACAGGAGAGAGGTGGCAGCTGCACTGGACGGACCTGAAGACCTGGTGCTCAGTCAGAGCCACAGACACAGGCCACCGGCTGTGACCCAGTGACAGGAGGGTCAAGGACAGGAGTCCAGAGACGGGATGTGGGCCATGGGGAGGGACGGGGGCTGCTCCTGGACTTCCTTCGGGGATGGAATGTTCTGGAACCAGACAGAGGTGCCGCTGCCGCTGGACTGTGCACTCTAAAATGGCCGATCTGCGTTACGTGACTCTCACTCAGAAGCAGCGTTGGGCAGAGGTTTCAGAGAGGCTGACCGGGCTGAAGAGTAGACCCGTGCCCAGAGCCGGAGCGCAGGGACACAGGGTGCCCAGAGGCCCCCAGGCCCAGGACTGGCCGCGATGGTGGATGCTCGGCCCTGCTCGGTGGTTGTGGGCTTTGCTGTCAGATCAGAGCTGCGGCCCAGAACTCTGGGTTCCCCTCTCGTCTGGAATCCGGGGACCTTCCTTCCAGCTGGCCGCTGGGTGAGGAGTTGCCCTCGGGCTCCTTCCCCGTCCGCAGCCCGCCAGCCACCACGCTGGGCTGTGGGCAGCGGCCCCTTGAGACAGGTAGAACCCACTTCCCGGAGGGGAGACTGAGGCAGGGAGAGGGATCAGGCCTAGGGGCCAGGGCCTTGGTGCCCCGGCCTGCCCACAGGCCGCGCTCTGACCCCCGCCACAGCAGGAGGCTGGCGTTGTCTGGGTTCTCATGAGGGGGACATGTTCCCAGCTCTGGCGGTGCACAGGGGTCCTACGATGGCCAAAGGAGCCCCCTGCAGGTCGCCGTCGGAAGCCGGGGTTGCTCCCGCTCTCCAGGCTGAGAGCTTGCGGGTGCCCCTCTCCTTGGCCGTCCCCTGCAGTGAGGTGGCCTGCTCTTCACTCCTGAGCAGAGGCATGTTGGAGTCTGGGACACGGAGCAGGTAGGTCCCTGCTGGGTGGTTCCATTTGGAGGGCGTGGTGCCTGGTCAGCTGGGCTGAATGATGACCGCGGCGTTTGGCCCAGGTGCTGCCCTGGGGGTCTCTGGATGCCCCCAGAGTCTGGAATCCGTGGTGTTAAGTGAAGGAGGGGTTCGGGGACACAGCAGGGCCCCAGCCTCACGCGCCCTCCACCAGGAGGCCTTTCAGGGCAAGAGCAGGGCTTCCTGGGTCAGCACACGCTGCCCGCAGGCCCAGCGGTTGGCAGAGGTGCCACGCACCACGCGGGTTCTTTGGTAGAGGTCGTGTAGGTCAGGAAGTCTGCATCCGAGGAGGCAGGTGCATCAACAGGGCAGAGGCCACCCTTGCCACAAAGAGCACAAGCCCCGGCAGCGGGGGCAGCCTGGGCAGCCGGCAGAGGCCCTCGGGGGCGGAGGCCAGGCTTCCCCTGCCAGGCTGCGCACCACTGAGCTGCTCCCTGGGCCCGGGAGGAGGCGACTTACAAGCCATAGGTTGGCACCTGCAGGGACGGAGAGCCTTCCAGGCAAAACACAGGAGGGGCAAGGCCCGGGCAGCAATCAGCCCAGTGAGCTCAGGAACAGACCAGAGAGTAGAGCAGCCGGGTGCAGAGGGAGCCGTGGGGGAGCAGCAGGGGGGCCGCGGGGGAGCAGCAGGGGGTCCACAGGGGAGCAGCAGCCCAGGGCAGAGGGGGCCGCGGGGGGAGCAGGAGCCCGGTGCAGAGGGGGCCGCGGGGGGAGCAGGAGCCCAGTGCAGAGGGGGCCGTGGGGGGAGCAGGAGCCCGGTGCAGAGGGGGCCGCGGGGGGAGCAGGAGCCCGGTGCAGAGGGGGCCGCGGGGGAGCAGCAGCCCCGGGCAGAGGGGGCCGTGGGGGGAGCAGGAGCCCGGTGCAGAGGGGGCCGCGGGGGGAGCAGGAGCCCAGTGCAGAGGGGGCCGCGGGGGGAGCAGGAGCCCAGTGCAGAGGGGGCCGCGGGGGGAGCAGGAGCCCGGTGCAGAGGGGGCCGCGGGGGAGCAGCAGCCCCGGGCAGAGGGGGCCGTGGGGGGAGCAGGAGCCCGGTGCAGAGGGGGCCGCGGGGGGAGCAGGAGCCCAGTGCAGAGGGGGCCGTGGGGGGAGCAGCAGGGGGGCTATGGGGGGAGCAGCAGCCCCAGGCAGAGGGGGCTGCGGGGGAGTGGGGGCCCTGGGGGGAGCAGCAGCCCCGGGCAGAGCACCATGGGGCAGGTGGATGGAGGGGAAGGAACGGGTCAGGGCGAGCACTACTGGTGCGGGATGAGATCAGGAGCCCATGTCCCCCAGGGCAGCCCCCAGAGGCAGAGGACATCCCATAAGGTGAGGGATCATGCCGAATTGGACGGCGTGAGGGTCCTGTGCAGGACCCCAGGCTCCAGGAAGGAGGCCCAAGTGCAGCAGATGCCCACCCTGCCCGCCCGCAGAGCTGGGATTTCCAAGGCAGGTGAGACCTTCCCACTCCCCAAGCCCTGGGACAGCCTCAAGCTCTCTAGACCTGAAAACCCTGCCCACCGCCGCAGGGACATCCTGATGTCTCCTGTAGAATTTGCTTTCAGTCCCTGATAGGGAGCCTCTGTTAAAGGGGGGAGTCTGCCGGCACGGTGACAAATGGCAGTCATCACAGCTACTCGGGAGGCTGAGGCAGGAGGAGCACAGGTTTAAGGTCAGTCTCAGCAACTCAGGAAGACCCTGTCTCAAAATAAACAGCACCGGGGCTGGAGCTGGGCGGACGTGCAGGTGCTCGCCTCGCATGCGTGAGGCTCTGGGATCCATCCCGGTAATGTCCCCTCTGTACGCAAGCTGGACAGCATGGCTGCATCCCTCTGTCCTGGGTAGAGCTGGTCCCTGAGGTATCCCCTCAAGTCCCGATGCCTGGTGCCGGGCTGTGGCCTCATTGGGACATAGTCACCCTCCCTTATCAGTGGTTTGGCTTTCTGCATTTTCAGTTACTTGCAATCCGCTCTGGTCTGAAAATACTAAATAGAAAATTCCAGAAACAAATATGACCACAAATAGAATAAGATTCGTAAGTTTTAAGTCGCCCTTTTCCTGAGGAGCGTGTGAAGTCGTGCACTCTGTGGCTCCAGCACGTGGATTATCCTTTCGTTCAATGTATCCACACTGTGGATGCTACTCTCCTGTTAGTGACTCAGTCACTGTCTCCGTTATCAGACTGACTGCTGTGGTGTCACGGTGCTTGTTTGCAAGGAACCCTTGTTTTTCTTCATTATGACCCCGAAATGTCATTATTTGGCCATTCAGATGATATGCCAAAGAGAAGCAGGGGAGATGGACTCACTTGACGTGAGGAGGTGAGTTCATCACGGGTGTGCAGGTCGGGGCAACGTGGTTCTGTGTACCCAGGGCTGGGTGACATCCACTTGGGCATCCATCGAGGGTCTTCCCAAAGACAGCGAGGAGCTTCTGCAGGGTTTACCGATGTGACGGAGTTAAGATGAGGTCAGGCCGTGCTGGGTCACGGGGAGCCCCACCTAACAGCTTGTATCTTTCTAAGAGGAGCAAACAGGGGATTTGTGCAGTGAGCTGGGTAATTCCAGGCTGCGGGAGGCTCTGGCTCCAAGGGGCTTGCAGAGGGCAGTGGGCGGAGAGACCAGGACGAGCAGTGGGCACCGGTGATGTTCCCTGGAGAGGGGTGGCCAGGCTGGGAGGAGCGGCATGGTGAGCCCCGGGGCGGGGGACACACACACACAGGCGGCTCCGTGGGCCGCGGCTGAACCCTCTTCGAGACAGAGCCTGTGGTGAGCTGTGGGTTGGCTACCCGCCTCGGCTCCTCCAGGGCTGGCGCACAGCAAGACCACTGTCCTGCAGCCGCTGGGCCGCTGCCCCGGGAGGAGCCCCGGCAGCTGGAGAATTCTTTGGAAAGTCACCCGCCTCTTGCCCGGTGCCCACCCGCTACAGAGCGGGGCCTGTTCTGTTCGCAGCTGCGTCTGGACAGTGCTTCCCGGGGCCTGGGAGGGGGTCGCTTCCACAGGGAGGAGCGGCCTCCGCGGCCTCCTCGGCCTCCGCGGCCTCGCAGAGGGAGCAGTCCTGCTGGAGCTGGGACCCGGCCACCGCCCTGCCGTCCGTCTGTCCGCAGCTCGTGCCTCGGCGGCTCCCTGGTGCCACTGAGTCCCAGCAGGAGCCCCAGAACTCGGGTGGAAAACGGTTCTTAAATGTGGACGCGCGTGGACGTTTCGCTTGTCATCAAGCCAGGCAGCGTGACGGCTGTGGCCACGGCCCCACACGTGTGGGGAGTCCGAGTCACCTGGACGGGGCTTGGAGTCCAGGGTCTGTGCCATCATGGCACTAGCCTAACCCGGGGCCGAGCGCCTGTGGGTTTTGGCATCTGTGGGTCCTGGAGCCGGTCCCGGGTACCCAGGATGCAGGGGGCCTGCGGGGGTTGCTTGAGTCTGGGACGGTCGGCCGATTGCTGCCAAGAGACCTGGGTGGAAGGAGGGTGCCATGCCTTGGCCCTGGGCAAGGACACAATGCTTTGGTCTGGGCAGAGACCAGAGTCCATGGGGGCCAGAGGGGACATGAGGCTGAGGACTGGCCAGAGGCCCCTTGGGCTCCTGGCACCTGGTGCTGGATGGAACCCACTGAGGTCACTGCACCTAAATCTGCCAAGAACACAGAGCCACAGCTTTCCCGGGTGCTCCCAGAGCAAACGAGGCTCTGACAATCATTCTTGCCCATTCTAGAATATTCCTAACGACACCCTGACCTGCTCGCTAAAAAGTGATCCCTCATCTGCTGGGCATGGTGGTGCACACCTGTCCCAGCAGCTCGGGAGGCTGAGGCAGGAGGATTGAGAGGTCAAAGCCAGCCTCAGCTATGATGAGGTGCTGAGCAACTCAGTGGGACCCTGACTCTAAATAAAACACAGAATAGAGCTGGGGTGTGGCTCGGTGGTCGAGGGCCCCTGAGCTCAATCCCCAGTACTTAAAAAAAAAAAAGTGATCCCTCATCTGCCCCAACTGCCGACTCTGGGCCTTAAGTCCCCCTGTCCCCCTCTGGGTGCCAGGCGTGGATGCTGCGCCCCTCAGAGGGGCTGGGCCGCGGGCGAGGGTGGAGCAGGCCAGGCAGGCAGCCCCAGCCCCGGCTCTCCGCCCAGAGGCTGGCAGGCCTCCCACACAGCCATTCCCCCTCAGCCCTCAGGCCCCGCACCAAGAAAAACGGTAGAACAACCGCCCAACGGGGAGGCTGGGCACGGCCCCAAGACCCAGCTGGAGGGGAGAGGCCAGAGCCGCCGCAGAGCCCACCACTGAGGGAGGACAAGGTCCTGCGCCCCTCGGAAGGCCAGAAGCTGGAGGAAGGGTTCTGAGCGCGCGCGGGAGTGTGTGTGAGTGTGTGAGTGTGTGTGAGTGTGAGTGTGTGTGCGAGAGTATGAGAGTGTGTGTGTGTGAGTGTGTGTATGTGAGTGTGTATGTGCGTGTGTGTGTATGCATATGTGTGCGTGCATGTGTGAGTGTGCGTGGTGCTGCATGGCCTCGTGCACACGGGGCAGGCGTTCTACGCCTGAGCCACACCCCTGGTCTGAGATTTTGAACGTTTTTACCCCAAAGAATCAAGAAATGTTTGGCAAGAAAGACGCGGCCTTCCGGGCACTGTGCACTGCGTCCGCGAGTTGAAACCTCACCAGCTGTCCCAGAAATACGCGCAACTTTTGTTTTATGTAATACTTTGAATTTTTTTTTCATTGAAAATTCTTGCCATGTTTAGAATTTTTTTTTTCCCCAGAAAATTCCAGAACTTGAGTGCTGGCTCGGAGCACTGGAGGACGAAGTCACAGACGGCCTTGCCCCTAGAGGTAAGTGTCCCCCAGCGAGGACGTCCGTCTATCGAGGGCTGCAGATGTTCCCAGCAGGTACCACTCAGGTCCGGGCGCTGCCGAGTGGACCTGGGCAGGCCCCGCAGGCAGCTGGACAAGAGCTTGTCCGTGGCTTGGAGCAGGGCGCCTCTGGCTACGCCACGTGGGTGCATGGAACTTGGGGTCTCCACACGAGTAGATTCAGGGTGACGTCCTTGGATGTGGGGTGCTTCCTCCAAAGGCCTCGCCTCTGCTTGGACGGACGGACAGACGGCTCCAGAGCTGCCTGTGGGCAGCCTCCTGAGGCACCGGAAGGTGGCTGGAGCGCCCCTCCTGCCCGCCCTGCAGCCCCTCTCCTCCGGGTTGGTCCACTCCACCGGGTTCGGCCCTGGGAACCCTCGCAGACGAGATTTTTCTGGAACTGGAGATTCTTTTCAAATTCCCTTCCAGGCTGACCACAGCGGTCCTCGGGATGGTTCCTTCCGTCGGGGTTCACAGAGCGAGCTCCTGGGCCTCGGGGAGCCTGCAGTGTCCTCGGACCCGGTGTTTTATTCCCCTGTGGGCAATACCCACTCATCTATTGAGCGCCGACTACCTGCCAGGCACCATCTTGGATTGGGGTTCAGCAGTGATCAAAGCAAAAGATTCTTGCCTTTTCGGGGTTCCCTGTGGTGGGAGATGAGTGCAGTCGGTGGGAGCCTGTGGCGTTTGGCACACACATGGTCTGAGAGGCACCAAGGGTCTACGTGATGGAGGCTTGTCCTGGTGTGCGAGGCACGGTGGTGGGATCCGGGGAGGCCCTCAGGTCAGGGTTGCTCTTGGAAGGGATTAAGGTCCTTCCTTGGGGAGGATGTCAGATATTCAGGTCTCGGGAGACGTCGTCATAAGCCCTGCTGCTGAGCCGGGCCCACCAGCACCCTGGCTTCCTGCTTTGAGATGATGCAACTTGTGACAGTCACAGACGCTCACTCCACTGCTGTCCACCATGAGGTGATGCAGCAAAGGAGGGCTCTGGCCAGAGCCTGCACCATGCTGTTTGGACATAAGCCTCCAAAACTACGGGCTAAACAAAACCTCTTTTCTTTATAAAGCACCCAGCCTCAGGTACTTTGTTGTAGAAACACAGAATGGACTAAGGCAGCATATGGGAGGCTTTGAGTATCTGACAGCCGCTGGAGCAGCACCACGAACTTACTGCCTGAACACATCAGGCTGTCCCCTTACCATTCTAGAGGACGGGAGCAATTCCAAGGTCATTTTCACTGGGCAAACCCAGGGCTGGCCTCTCCTGAGGCTCCAGGGAGAGTCCGTGTCCTGCTCTCCAGCTCCTAGGGGCCCCACAGCCTGTCCCTTCCACGCTGATGTCCCCTGTTCCTGTGCGAGATCTCTCTCTGCCTCCTCTTAGAGGGACACACGGTGATCTTCAGGGCTCACGGGGTAGCCCATGACCACAGCTCCCCGCCCCCCGGCCTTAACTGAAACGTAGGCAACACAGCCGCGGAAGGGAGACTCTCAGGTTCCAAGGACTAGGACACCGCGTCCCGGGGGCTTTCTCCACCTTCACGCAGGAAGGAAACCATTCAGGAATGGGGAGGGGCAAGGAGGGGCCAGGGGGTCATCTCTGAGGAGTGGCCTGAGGCCTGAAAGAGGCAGGAGGCAGTCTCCAGGAACAGCATGCCCGGCTGAGGAACAGCAGGGGCAAAGTCTAAAGGTAAGAGTCAGCCAGTCAGGGAGCAGGACGGGAGGAAGCTGCTGGGCTGAGGGTGTGAGGAGGCTGGGGGGACACCAGGCCAAGAACACAGAGGCAGGACCCTGGACTTTCAGAGGGATGGGCATGTGCCCAGGTGGGTTTAAGCAGGGGTGGGTCGGGTGCCTCTGGCAGCTACAGGTAAAAGTACACCACGGCTTGCGGTCATTCAGCGCGGGTTGCAAGGCTGTAATCTCTGAGACGGCTCTGGATTTGTGTGCGTGTGGCCCTGGGGTCGGACCCAGGGACATGCCACCACTCAGTGCACCCCAGCCCTTTCTATTTTATTTTGAGACAGGCTTTGCTGCATTGCCCAGGTGGGTCCTGAACCTCCCGCGTTGCTGGGGCCCCAGGCCTGGGTCACCGTGCCCAGCTGGAATTCTTAAAATGGCCTGCGGTGGGGCTCTCTGGGAGCCTCGGGGAGGACGTCAGATATTCAGCAGGATCTTCGCCATTGCCTGGTCTCCACTAGTCTGCTGCGAGGCCACAGGGAGGACTCAGGTCCCCGCCCCCCAGAGGACCTGCAAGTTCCCACATAGAGCTTAGGGCGGGTCCGGGAGGCTCCAGGTGCCAGCTGGTGTACCTGCCCCCCCCCCCCCCCCCCCCCCCCCCGCCCAGCAGCGACGCACGCGAGGAGCTCAGGCGCAGGGGCTAGAGTCCTACCTGGGGAGGTCCTCATCCTGCCACTCGTCCTTCACCTCCACCTTCTCCATCCGCAGGGTGGCTTCTGTGGTCCCCATGGGAGCCGGGAGGAGGGGCCCTGGAGGAGAGCTGGGAGGGAGGAGCGGGTTGAGTGGACAGGGGTCATAACAACAGCCCCCCAACCGCAGCTCTCAGTGGTGGGTCTGCACCCCTTCTTCTACCCAATCATCGCCCAGCCCATGAGGTTTCCTTCCCTAGGGCGAGCCATGACCCAGACAGGCTCATCCTCCCTCTGGATCTCAACTGGGAAGCAGTAAACGCCTTAAAAGATCGTTCAGACTAAAGTGTGAATGACTGATGTGCTTAATTTTCCCTGCTGGGACTGACACTTTCAAAGAGGACCAGGCCCATGCCAACCCTCTCTCTGCTCCAGTCCCCTCCCTTGCCCCCTGTTCTCGTCCTGACAGCCCAGCCCCAGGCCTCGGAAGGCAGCCCCGAGCAGCAGGACTGGAAGTCGGATCAGAATCCCCCTCGCCTGGGGGAAGCAGGTTTTGTTCTCAGGGTTCTGGGGGTGGGGCTCTGGACGGTGGCTCGGGTCTCTGGGACAGGATGAGGGTTGAGGAGGAGCTGAAATGGGGGAACCCCGGCCCCGCACACTCCCAGGTCCTTCACCTCTCGGCCTCAGCTTCCTGTTTGCAGATGAAAGGCCTGATGCAGGGGCGACTTCCAGGCCCTCTGGACGGCCAGGGCATCTCCTGCTCCACCAGCCCTGCTCGCTGGTGCTTTTAATCAGTGGTTTCCAACTGGGACGACCCTCCCCACCCTCAGGGGACACTTGGCAATTTCTGCGGGCACTTTGGGTTGCTGTGCCTGGGGGACGAGCTCTGGGTGGAGGTCAGGGAGCCTGCTGGACACCCACAGTGCCCAGGCTGTCCCCAGGCAACAAGGGTGTCCTTAGGGCCACATGTCCACAGGCCGGGGCTGAGAAGCCCGGCTTTAAGGGAAACAGCCATTTCTTTCTCTATTTGCCTTTTGTGGAAGGGTTTCAGGCCCCAGCTCCGCAGGCACCATGAAGCTCAGCTGCTGGACCACCCTGTGACCTCCCTCCTCTGAAGAGTTCCTGTCACCCACACTCCTCAGCACAGGAGAATTCTGACCCCCAGCCCCGCACCGGCTGCCCCTCTGCAGAGCTGGCAGGGCCAGGTGGTTGGGTGTGTCCCTCACACTGGGGGACATGGAGATGGCTCTGCTGTGGCTGGTGAGGAGGGCCTCAGAGGGAGGCTGAGCCCCGCGGTCCCCGCAGGAAGAGGGAGCAGCTGGACCTAGACCCTCCCTGGCTTCCAGAGAGTGCCCACATTCTCTCTTGGCTGTCTTGAATGTCGTCATTCACTCATGGAGGAGGGACAGCGAGAGACGCAGCACAGGAGCAAAACAGTCCCTTCCGGATGCTACTGGCGGGCGAGTCCTCTCCAGTGGAGATCCATCTCCTCCCTGGAAGGGGTCTGCAGCCCCGAGCTGGCAATGACCTCAGCTCCCTGGGGACCGACCGGCCACATCCGCCAAATATGGGGTGTGGTGGGTCCCAGTGGCCCACAAGCTCCTGTTCAGGTCCCGGCTTCCCATTGGGGAGAGCAAAGAAAGCCACGGTGCTGGGCATCTGGGAAGGAGTGTGGATGCTCGGAGCCGATTATTAACCCATCACGCACAAGCTGGGAAGAGGAGGAGGCGTCTGTCTTTAGCGGCTCCTTCCTCCCACCCCCCCAGCCAGCCCTGGGCGACACACTTACAACATCTTTTTCCCCCCAAATCCGCAGCTGGCAGAGCCCCTGGGGGTTATAAATAGGAAACAGCAGAGGCCCAGGGAGCTCCCCAGGAGAGGGGACAGCCCTTTATCTGCCTAAGCCCTGAGCTGTCCTGACAGTGGTGCAAACCTGCCCGCTTGGGCCGGTCCGGGAGGTTTCCTGGCCTGGGCCACAGGGCGACCAGGGTGAGATGGGCGAGAGCGCATCCTCGCAGACCCGCATCCTCCCTTCTATCCGCCCCACCTGGGGCTGGGCGGCAGCACATGCCTCCATCCGCCTCCCGGGCGCTGGAGCAGGAGACAGGCTCACTCACCTCTCGTCTGTCACTGTCCCTGTCACCGGCAAACAAAGGCGAGCGCTCCCGGTGCGCGGCACTCCTGGCCCCGGGCCTTCAGAGCCTCGCGGGGAGAGGCTGGCGGGGACTCGGCATCCCGGGAAGGTCACCCTGGGCGACGCGGCGGCCGAGCTCTTCCGTGCAGGGCGGTGGAGCGGGTCTGGGTCAGCAGCGGGCTCCCGCTGGCCGGGCGGTGGCCGCGGCCCCTGTCATCGCTGCCCGCGGCCTGCCTCCGAGGGTTTGCTGGGCGCACAGCGGGCGGGCGAGGCTGGCTTCTCGGGGACAGTTACCGCCGCTGCTTTGTGTGCAGGGGCGGGAGGGCGGGGGCAGGCGGCGGAGGAGCAGGCCCGGCCGCTCGGCTCCTCCCCGTTGGCGGGGGACGGGCCTCTCCGCAGCCGCCGGGGCAGGTGCCGCGCTCGTGTCTGGTGGCGCATCACAGATGTGAGGACGGAACAGGGGCAGCAGACGACAGGGACGGAGGGGCAGGCCCCACCCCAGCGGGGACCCGGACAGCCTGTGCCTGCAGGGACCGCTCCGGAGCCGGGTCCTCGCCGCCGCGGGCGCAGCGCCCCCTGCAGTTGTGCGCCGGGGAGCCGCAGCCGGGAGGGAGCCGCCAGCCTGGGGACAGTGGGGCTGAGCCCCGTCCTGCTCCCGGATCCGCGCCAGGCCTCAGTCCTCCCCGTCCGGGCAATGGGACCTCCAGTGCCACCTCCAGGACCTCGTGAGAAGACGGGTAGACCAGGCTGCGCCCGCGGGGGAACCTCTGTCGGTGTCTCTTCCAATTGCTGCCCCCCCACCTGGGCCCTGTAACGGGCTGAATGGTGGCCCCCAGGACACACGGGTATGTCCCAGTCCTGGGAACTTGTGCATGTGACCTTATTTGGAAAAAGGGTCTTTGCAGATGGAATTAGGTTAAGGATGCGGAGTGCAGATCATCCTGGATTAGAGGGGTTCTAAATCCAATGACAGGCATCTTTAGAAGAGAAGGGAGAGGTGTGTGGGGGGGGAGGCCAAGTGAAAGATGGAGGCAGAGACCAGGGTGAGGCATCTACCAGCCAAGGAACCCCAGGATTGCTGGAGAGAGTGAGGCAGGTAATAGATTCCCTCCAGAGACTCCAGGAGGAGACACCCCGGCAGACACCCCAATTTCAGACTTCTGGAGAGAATAGATGTCTGTCATTTTAAGCACCCCCCCATCTGTGGCATTTTGTCAGGAAATGAAGCACACGACCTCAAGTAGATGACTTCTGTGTTCTCTCCCGTCTCTCCTAGTTACATCACTGTGGTGGTCTTCTGTGTCGCAGGAACACGTTGCATTCACTCCTACCACAGGGCCTTTACACATGCTCTTCCCCCCTCACATATGTTCATGCTATCCATGTGTCAGTTCAGAAGCTGTCTCCTCAAAGAGGCTGCCTCCCACTCACCACCCTACCCCATGGCTCAAGTTTTTTTTTTTTTTTTTTTTTGGTACAATGCACTTTTCCTTAAATGGGGAACAAATGCCCTTAAAATTGACCACTTTACACTCGGTAGGGTGCAACTCAGAGGCATTGATACACTGATAGTCATGCACCACCTCCATTTCCTCATCCAGAACAGTTTACCACCCTTAGTGGAAGCCCGTCCCCCGAGCAGCCTCCTCCCGCACCCACAGGTCCACACCCCATCTCTGGACTGTCCTGTCCTGGACTCTCCTGTCACTGGGTCATACACTGTGGCCTTGTGTGTCTGGTTCTCACTGAGCATGAGGTCCTCAGGTCCCTCCATGCTGCAGCTGTGTCACCTCACTCCTGCTGGTGGCCAAGGGACCTCTGGGTGTGGGTGGAGCCCATTTTATGTATCTGTTCATCTGCTGATTACACTTGAGATGGGTTCCACTTTGGGGCTGCTATGAACACATGGGCACAAGTACTTGCTTGGGTCCCTGTTCTCAGCGCTCCCGTGGGAGTGCCGAGGGGGGGATTTCTGGGTCATGCTGTAATTCTATCTTTCACTTATTGAAGAACACGATTTTTTTCTCAGAAGTTGCCACTCAGAAATTATTTCTTTGTTTCTGTGGTTATTCTCTGTTCCACTTTTACTAGAATATGAATCTCCAGGGAGAAGGACTCTTGATCTCACTCACAGATATACTGTCCCCCAGGGGGTAGCACCTGACACTAGGGTGGTCAAGAGCCACCATGTATTAGTTGGCTTTGTGTTACTACAACAAAATGCCTAAAGCAGATAACTTATAAAGAGAAAAGGTTGGGTGTGTAGCTCATTGGTAGAGCACTGAGCATGCATGAGGCCCTGGGTTCCATCTCTAAAGCATATGTACACACACACATACACATGTGGGAGGCCAACCTTACGGGTGACTGGTCACAGAAATGGGTGTGTCTTGCTACAGCCCCATGGGTGAAGCTATGCTCACCTGTTCCTTTGTAATGTAACCCCTTGCCCTGTTTTCGAAGTGCCTTGTGTGTGTCCCCTCCTCTTACTGTGCCCTTGGGTGTGGCCTACCCAGGTGTCAGTCAACCTGCTGACAGTGGACATCATGAAGATAGACTCAGCCCCCTGAAACCTGACCCCTTGCCTCATTTGAATAGCTTCTCCTCAATAAAAGGGGTCAGCGCGTGCTCTCGCTCTCTCTCTTTCTGCGGACCCTTAAGGTCAGAGGAGCCGTCACAGCAACCCCAAAGAAAAAGGTATTTGTGTCTCTTGTGTGGTTATTTCATGCAGCCCAGTTAGCCCAGTTTAACTAGAGTGACACCTGAGCCTTTTAGTCGCGAGAACAGAAACCCGGCACACACACACACACACACACACACATGCACACACACATGGGGTGGGGGATGATTTAGCTCACAGTTTTGGAGGTCCCAGGGTATGGAGCCTGCATCAGCTCATTTCTGGTCCTCAATGGGTGGGAATGGTGGGACAGTGTGTGGGAGTAGTCTCACCTCGGACAGGAAGCCAGAAGAGACCTGGGTGGAGCCTTGCCTAAACTCTCATAGAAGCCCTCTGGAGAGAACTACCTTCCAGGGCATGTCCCCAATGACCTAAGGACCTCCCACTAGGCTCCACCTCCCACTAGGCTCCACCTCCCAAGGTCTCTGCACCTCTGAATAGCACCACCCTAGGGACCCAGTCTTCAATCCACTTGGAGCCTTGGGGGACATGAGCCATGTTCCAACCACAGTGTGCAGTCAGGATGCCTGAGCGTGGACATCAGGAACACTCGGGCCTCCGTCGCTGCATCAGGCGGCAGCCTTCCAAACTGAGGCAGAAGGGCACCTTGCCCCCAGAAAGCCTGGTGAGGAAGGAAGGGGCCAGAGCCTTCAGCACAAGGCCTGGACTTCCCAGGTCCTGGGTGGAGGAAGTGCGACTGTCAGAAAGGGCACTGCGTTGATGGCAAGGAGACGCAGGCTAGCCCTGGAGCCCAGTGCTGGGCACGAAACACCAGCCTGTGGTCTCACAGAACTCAGCCGCGTTTATTTAGAGACAGGGCCCTTGGGAGGGTCTCCTGGGGTGGGATGGGGTGGGGCGATGTGCGCTGGGCTCTGAGGAGCGAGTAGGAGTTTAATGGACAGAGGACAGAGAGAGGCATTTGGGGCAGAGCGGCCTGCCTGGATGGTCCGCGGTCTGTGGAGCGGCAGCTCCTCTCAGGGACAGTGCCTTGGAGCTGTCCGCGGTGCTGAAGCCACCGCCTCTGACTTTAGGGGCTCGCCATCTCCCTGCCCTTTATGTTGGCCCCGGCCAGTGTTGAAGTGCCTCCTGCGACGTGCCTCCCAGGGGAAGTATGTGGTCAGAGAAGTTTTGTTTTGTTCAGGAAGAGTTACGCTGCTGGCCGAGAGTGCAATGCTAACTAATAAAAGCGCACGCTAAAGGAGGTGACTGTAAGCCAAACTCAGAGAACAAGGTCACGTATGGATGGTCAACAAACATGCTGTGAACAAAGGCCACCAGGAGCCTGGACCTCCCAGGTGCCTTTCCCTTGAGAAAAGGTCCCCCGGAGCCACTATTTCAAGGTCCACGGCAACTTTACACAAGCAAAGTGGTGGGAACCGACTGTACCCCCTTCCAAGGGCTGTTGTGTGGACCAGCCAGGTCCTGGAAATCCTGACAGGAGACAGGGTTTATGCAATCCAGAGAGAACACTGGATTGACCTGCCTTTGTACAGCAGACGCTGCCTTCATTGCCTAATTAGAACCGCGGGGCCTTGGAGGGGGGCCATGTGTAATTACCTCGCTGGGCTTTGGCCAGGGCATGGTGAGAGAGCTACACCTGCCAGACCAGCCAGACCATTGCTAGTGGCCACACACGGTCATGAAGACAAGGAAGAATGCCATTCGTTTAAATCACCAGTGGGGCTCCTTTGGCACCCGGGGCTTCCATGGTGCCTGTCCAAGAATTAACTAGCCCTGTGTCTGCTTAATACGGGGGCGGGGGAGGGCAAAAGAACACACCCCTGCCATCCTTGGCAAAAGTACTTTTTACTCCAAGCCTCTTGTAATATGGCATAGTCAGAAGGCCAGATGCTTTGAGTGGGGCTCTGGGTAAGGGGCGGGCTTGAGAGGAGACCCTCACTTCCGAGTGGTTAAAGGGAATGCGGGGCTCCAAGTAAGGGGCGGGGCTTGTCATGGGGCGGGGCTTCAGCTGAGAATTGCTTATCTGAGTGATTGAAGGCAAGGCGGAGCTCCGAGTAAGGGGCGTGACTCCCTGCAGGGGCGGGGCTTGAGGTGGGCGGGGCTTGAGCAGAGACCCTCACTGGCTTGGGGAAGAGGAAGGCGGGGCCCGAGGAGGGGGCGGGCCGGTGACGTCAGCGGCCGCCGGCCCAGGGAAGACGCCAAGATGGCGGCGAGCAGCTCTTCCGGCTTCGCACAGGGCGCCGGCCCGCAGTCCAGGTAAACGGCCCGCCCTCCCTCGCGGCGCGCGCCGGCCCTGCCCCAGGAGGACCGCGAGGCGAGGAGGCGGCGGCGGCGTGGTCGGAGCCGGCGGGCTGCCAGGCGGGCGGCGGCCGAGATGGCCTCGGAGCCGACCGTCAGGGAAGCGAGGAGGGGGCTCCTGACGTGGGAGGGTCCTCGGGCCTGTGGGGCTGGAGCACCGTCAACGGCCGGGGGAGCCCGGGAGGTATCTGGGCGGGCGGGGAGGGCGGAGGGCGCCGACCCCTGAGGGACAGACGACCCCTGAGTGACGGACGGGCCTCCCGGGTGGGGGGGGCGGAGGGCGCAGGCCCCTGAGGGACAGACGACCCCTGAGGGACAGAGGGGTCTCCGGGTGGGGGAGGTGGGGTGCAGACCCCCGAGGGACAGACGACCCCTGAGGGACAGAGGGGTCTCCGGGTGGGGGAGGTGGGGTGCAGACCCCCGAGGGACAGACGACCCCTGAGGGACAGAGGGGTCTCCGGTGGGGGAGGTGGGGTGCAGACCCTTGAGGGACAGACGACCCCTGAGTGACGGACGGGCCTCCCGGGTGGGGGGGTGCAGACCCCCGAGGGACAGACGACCCCTGAGGGACAGAGGGGTCTCCGGGTGGGGGAGGTGGGGGTGCAGACCTCTGAGGGACAGACGACCCCTGAGGGACAGACGGGCCTCCCGGTGGGGGGGCCGAGGCACCCCTGATGGGGGAGGAGGAGGTGGAAGGGTGCCTGGGGGGCAGTGCTGACCCCGCCGTGGAGGAGGAAAAAGGGATCTGGGAGGCAGCAGTCCAGCTGTGGGGCGAGGACCGACCCCTGCGGAGAAGGTAGAAGGCGGCCCTTCCAGGGGGCCTGCGGAGGCCGAGGGGGGCAGAGGACAGACCCGGGAGGCAGGGCTGGGGCTGGGGTGGTCTTGGAAGTCAGCTGGAAGGGTACCAGGAGGAAGTCAGCGCTCGGTTGGGAGGTTGCTGAGACCCGATTGAGGGAGGAGCAAACTTGAGGTCCTGAGACCCCGTGGGAGTGGGGCACCTGGGTTTGCAGGGAAGGGGGCCAGTGGGGAGAGGGCGCTGAGCCATTGAAACCAGTGCAGGTGTTTAGGTAGGTAAGAGCCGGGGAGGTGGGGACCCAGGAGTTTGGGGGGGATAGGAGCCCAGAGGAGAGATGGCAGGGGGTAGGGGGCAGGAGGGTTCTACTGGGGGCGACTTTCAGGGTACAAACACAGCACAGCCTGTTCTCCAGGGCCTCTCACTGCTGCAGCTCTGCTGCCCCCTGCCTGTCACCCGAGTCACACAGCCAGGGCTTGCAGCTCCAGGGAAAGGACCCTGACCTGTCATTTTCACGTACCAACCTGTTTCCCACTGGCAGCCCCGTAGAACCTCTGGGGCCAGTTTCACAGCCCCTTTGGAGCCCACCACCCACGTTAACTGCCCTTGGGCACCTCAGAGGCAATTGTTCCCTGAGCCTGGGGCCTCTGCCACATGTTCACGAGTGTCCGAGCTGCTGGGAGCTGCCAGCCAGTGTTCTGGTCCCGTACAGTGGAATGTTGGTCCTGGGCCAGCGTCTGTGCGCCCGTGGGCTCCCTCTTATGGAGTTACAAGGAGAGGCCAGTCAGGGCCTGGAAACAGGCCCGGGAGTCAGCATGCCCCGATGTCTTCTGCACCCCAGGGCTCCCCGGTCAGGCCTGGCTAGCCCTGGTTCTCTCAGGGGAGAGTGCTTGGCTGCCGTTTTCCTGGGATGGACCTTTTTCACTCTTCTTTTCTGTTTTCCTTGTGCTCAGTGGCAGTCTGAGGGCCAGGGCTCGGGCTCTGCCAGCCTCCTGGCTGAGGCTGTGCGCTCCTGGCAGCACTGCCCCGCCTGCCCGCCAGCTCTTCCTTTTCCTTCTCTCTCCAGTGCCTCCCTCATTCCCATGGGCACAGTCCCTTGATTGTTGGGCTATTGGCATGGCCTGCCAGGAGAGCAGCTGAGTATTTACGCTGTTAAAATAGGTCACTGCTGAGGTCAGCAGGTGTTTTTGTTTTGATTTGCGTTAATGGACTTACACATTTTAGTGCTGCTCTTTTCTGTCCTGTGGTGCTCCGGCAATGCGACGTACACATAGCCAAGAATGTGACACTGTCATCAACCAAATGTCAATGTCGTTAGAATGGTCTCTGCGAGAGGGTTATTCTTCAAAAAAAGAGTAAATATTAACTAAAGCTGAAAGTACTGTGGGAAGCAAGATTATGTACATTACTTGAATGATCTTAAGTTGCCTCAGCCCTCTTCTTTTGGGGGAAGCCACTTTGTCTTGGAAATTTGAGCTGCTTTTAAAATATGTGTTTCTTATATAATGTGCCATAGGAAAGCTGACTGGACCCCAGGTGTTGTGAGTCCCACTCTCCGGCAGTCCTTGGACAATAGTATTTACAGTGCCTGTGTTGTGACTTGCCCCAGCAGAGGCAGCAGTACTCCTTTGGAGCTCTGAGAGGGTTTTCTTGGCTTGTAAAGCTGATGACCACGGCCTTGGATGGGGCTGTTCCTTGCACGGTCATCCACAAATAGGGCTGGGGTCTGGACTGTTCTTTAGTTGTCAGTCAGTTAGCATTGCCTGTGTGTTTGCAGTTACTTGTTGATATTAATTATCTTTTTTTTAACTGGTGTTGGGGACGGAACCCAGTTATGTTATGACATGTTATGCAGGCACTGTACTGCTGAGCTGCACCTGCTAAAGTTTATTTTGAGATTGGGTTTCCCTAAGTTGCCCAGGTTGGCCTAGAACTTGTGATCCTCTTCCCTCAGTTTCCCAAGTAGCTGGGTTTTCTCATGTGGCTACCATTGGCATTGCTTATCATTTCATTATTTTATGTAGCTTTGAGTCTCAGTGCTTTTCACAGTTAGGACTGCAGGTATTCAGAATGAAGGATAATCCCGTGTGACTCCAGCCATGCTTTTGTCAGCTCAGGGGTGCTGCTTAGCGGTGAGGCCAGGGGCTGCTGGGGACACCCCATCTATGTTTAAGTCTTGTGGGTTATGAGATGTGCAAAGCTGGATGGGCTGTATGCTGGGCTTCCCTCCAAGACAGTGGCAGGCAGGCCAGCTCTGTTGCCTCCTGGAGCAGTTTTGTTGAATTCCCATTGGGATCTCACAGTCGGCTACCTTTGTTTTACACACTCCCACCTGTGGTCCTGGGATTGAGCCCAGGGGTGCCTACCACTGAGTTAAACTGACAGCCTCTTTTTTATTTTATTTTAGAGAGTGTCTTGCTAAGTTGCTGAGGCTGGTCTTGAACTTGGGATCCTCCTGAGCAGCTGGAATTACAGGCATGACTACTGTAACTGACAAAAAAAAGTACATTTTTAAGAAGACTTATTGCATGACCGAATTATGCTATCTCAGACCCTATCACAAGTGAATTGAATGTTTTTACAAATTTTCAGGGCTGAGGACATAGCTTAGTGATAGAGCGCTTGAGTTTTATCCTCAGCACTGCAAAAAAAAAAAAAGCTTTTCAAGTATAGATTTTGAATTTTTATTTTATCCATTTTAGAACCAAAAATAAATTCCTAAACATTGGGATAAAAGTAAACTCCTAAGAGATCCTTTAAATTCCCAAACATATTCTCTGTTTCTGAATTTTTATAATCTTCTTTTAAATTTTTTTATAGTTGTAGATGGACAGAATGCCTTTATTTTATTTTTATATGGTGCTGAGGATTGAAACCAGGGCCTCGCACATGCTAGGCAAGCACTCTGCCACTGATGATGATGATGATGATCATCATCATCATTATCATGTGTGTGGTGCTGAGGGGCGCTTTGCCACTGAGCCACATCCCAGCCCTTTTTGTTTTTTATTTTGAGACAGGGCCTTGCTAAGTTGCTGATGCTGTCCTTGAACTTGCAACCCTCCTGCCTCAGCTTCCCAGTCACTGGGATGACAGGCGTGGCCACTGTGTCCAGCTATAAAAGCATTTTCTCATGACTCTTGGAATCAGTGTTTGCCATGAATGTATCCTGTCAGGGGCCAGAGGTCACCTCAGCCAGTCAGCCACACATGGGGTGGGAGACCAGGTGGCAGGACTTGGTTTTTAGGTGGAACCCTCCCACACCAAAAGACCAGCACCAAGCAGAGCTGTGCAGAGTTCAGGAGTCTGCCTTATGGAGGCTGGGCTGGCGGAGGTGGGGTTGGCAGAGGTGGGGCTGGCCAGGGCAGGTTGTGGCCCCGTCTGCTCATAAAGGGAGCCTGCGTAGCACAGGCACAGGAAGAACCCTGTTCCTGCCGCTGTAGTTGCTTGGGAGGGCTCTGAGGATGTCTAGTTTGTGTTTTGAGGTTTGGGCCAGTTTTGGTTGTCATCATGCTCTAAATTGGGGTCTCACTATGTTGCTGAGCCTGGCCTTGAACTCACAGTCCTCCTGCCTCAGCCTCCCCAGTAGCTAGGATGACAGGCATGTCCACCACGCCGGCTTGCTTCCCTTCCCTAAGGTAGGTGCAAGGTGCCTGAGGCACCATGTTCCCACCAGGGGCTGTTGGTTGTCCCCGGATATCGGGGGCTCCAGACGAGTGCTGCCAGTCACACACCCTACACCGTCTATCTGCTCTTTGCTCCGGGCGGTGTCCTGTGGTCTTCTCTTGGGTGGACCCTCAGCCGAGGTGTTGGTTTTGGTGGGTGCTTTCCCTGGCAGCTTCCCTGCTAAGGCGACTTGGGCGTCCGGCACTTGCTTCCTCTGCTGTTCTGTTGACCGTGCCCCAGGGCAGCTCTTTGTCCCTGCTGGCTGAGACTGGAGAGGCTTCCTCGGCTCTGTCGGCTTCTGTACCTTGGACAGTCGGTCCTGTTGCACAAGTCGGCCCCTGGAGCAAAGCTGATCCCAGCCTCCGGTGCCTGGGCTGAATGTTCTGGAAGGCCATCAACTAGCTTTGATTTTGAATGCAGTGGTTGCTTCTAGGGCCACTGTCCTCTCTGTGGAGCTTCCTCATAGGTGCCCTGGTGGCCGGCTTGGCTTGTCACTTCCTTCCCACAGCAGAGGTTCCGTGCTTGGGGGGCCGCAGAGCTGCTGCTGCTGCTCCCCAGGAGGTTTCCCACCCCCCGCAGGCAGGAGAGCAATGAAGCCACACCTGACCCCCTCACGCTCCCAAGATGTCCAGATGTCTGGTGTCCGCAGCAGTTGAAAGGCATCACTTTGTTGAATGGCTCGGCTGGAGCTCTTCACCTGCCTGTCCTTGGACACGCCTGCGCCCTCCCTCCTGCCCAGCCAGCAGTGTCAGGGAGCCTCGCTCCACAGTGCGTGACTGACGGACCACCACAGGGCCACCCTGTAAGGCACCTTCCTTTAGCAGGATGGAAGAGAAACCCAGGGGCTACTGCCAGACACAGCCTGGCCCCCTGAGAGGCTTGGGCACAGCCCCAGAATGTGGACGGGGCTCTGTCCCAAGGGGCCGAGCTGGCCCTGGTGTGGAGCTGGATTCTAACCGCAGCTTCAAGTCGGTTGCGGACGGGGCGGGTGGTAAAGCCTCTGTTACCTCGGAACAACTCGAGATCTCTGTAGTGCGTCAGCATGTTTTCCAGGGGCATCTGGGTTTGTAGTGGGGGTTCCACCTGGAGACACACATGAGGCTTTCATAGTAAAAGAAAAGAAAATGCCAGTTCTGCTAAGCCTCGCAAGCACACTGTCCAACAGGCAGGCTGGGTGCGGCTCAAGCGCTGAGGCCCGGGTCCCGTCCCAGCACCAGAAACGAAACAAAAGTGTATGGTGTGTTTGAAACATAAAGCCCCTGAGAACAGGAGTACAGTCAAATAGCGCCTGGGCTGTAGAACGCAACCTCATTGCCAATAAAGCAGACCTGAGGCCCCCTGGGCAGCGACCGTGGGGCCTCGCTCATGCTGCACTTGACCTTGGCCTCCAGCCTTGCACCCCGAGCTGCTACCTTCCAAGCTCAGCTTGCAGGAGCCAGGGTTTCCCTCAGCAGTGCTGAAAGATGGGTGGGCTTGATGCCCAGGTCTCCGGCTGCCTGTGCTGGCCTCTCACCACTGGGGGGGCCCTAGGAGGAGGGTGCTAGAGAGGCCAGCAGCGGAAGAGCTGTGTCCCCAAGTTAAGAGCCTCCTCAAAGCAAGAATCACTGAGGTGGCTCAGCCCTGGGATTCTGGGAGAATCTCTTCCTTTGGGTTTTCATGTCTTGGACTCTGTCTTCTCTGTTTCCGTGTGCTCCCACTGAGGTGTTCTTTGGAAGCCATATCCAGCAGAATCATCATTTGCCACTGGAAGGACGTGTCCTCCTTCCTGATGGTCCCTGGGCATCCCACCACTGGCCTTGACCTTGGGTTCCACACTGCATTTTGATGCCTGTTCTTCCCTCAGGGTCTTGGTCTCTTGAGAACAAGTAAGAGCCTGTCAGGAGAGAGGCCGGGTGGGGGACCTGGACGTCTCTGGATGAGCCCGTCCATCCTCAGGACCTTGATGTCCCCAGGAATTCAGTGAACTGTGAGCAAAACTGTCTTGCCGCCTTTGTGTTCTAAATCTAACCTGGAATGCGTGCCCTCCCTCTGCCCCAGCAAACATTCAGAGCAAAGAGCCACCCAGAGACCACCGCCCAGGGCCCAAGGACAGAAGCCCAGGGAGGAAGGGAGAGCGGGCATCAATGGAGTTGGGCTAAAATACCGGTTTTCCTCCACCAGTGGTGGCCGGAGCATGTCCAGCTTCCTGCCTGAGCTCCCACCCCCAGGTTGGTCCCCAGCCCAGGCACTGCTGTCATGGAGACAGCGGGCAGCAGCACTGCAGTGCCGGGCGGCTGTCTCTGAGCAACAGGTGGTTCCAGCAGCAGCAGCAGCAGCAGGAGACCTGCTCGTGGACCGAGGGCAGCTTTACAGGGCGAAGCTGCAACGTCGCCAGTTCCTGGGCCTCACAAGCTGTTTGCTCTCACACCAGCTGTGTGTGAGAGGGCGGCCACTATTTAAAGGCTGGCCGGTTTCACAGTGAGTCTTGAGTCCCAGCAGTGCTTCACCCGGGCAGCTCTGGCCACCCTGGACACACAGTGCACCAGCCCCAAGCTGGCCCAGGGGCACGGAGTCCTCCTTCAGTGGTCTCACTGTCCCAGCGCCAGATCAGCGATTCCTATTTCACAGGTGAGTAAACGGAGGCAAGAAAGAGTATGGCCAGCCCAAGGCCCTGCAGGCCACTCCAGATTCCACACCCTCTGCTGACCATGCTCCCCACAGTGCCTCGGCCCCAAATCCTCTTGGTGCACACCAGAACCACTGGTGTTGTCAACCCTCCCATCCCTTCTTGCACCTGCAGCGTTGCTCTATGGACTAGTGTTATGCGGGAAGCCAGCGCCACAGGAGGGTTTCTTACAGTGCCTGAGGAGGGGTCATGTCACAGTCTGATCATTTGAAGAGGTGCAGAGACCCTGAGGCTCCCCTGCATGTGGGCCTTGAGCCTCAGGCCAGCAGCTGGCCCGGGAGCACTGCCTCCTCCCCCGGGTGAGGCCACAGCAGAGAAGCCCTCATCAGCCTCTGTCAGCTCCATGCCTTGACCTTGGCCTCCAGTCCCCAGAACTGTGAGCAATAAACCTCTGTGCTTTACAAGTCCCCAGGCTGTGGTCTGTTGGAGGTGTGCACAGTGACTGAGACACTGTCCCTGGTGACTCAGTGGGCTCCTTGTGCCCCAGGCAGAGGGACTGGTTTGCAGATGGAAGCTGTGCTGCCAGCAAACCCTTTGCCATCTCTAGAGAGCCACCAGCCCCAGAGGGGCCTCTCCCTGGTCAGCCAAGCACCATGAGATGCGGAAAATAAAACATGACTACCACAGGGAGGTGGGCTTTCCCGTGGGCACCACCTTCATGGACACCCTCTCCCCAACACCCTCCTGCCCCTGCCTGGACCAGGCAGGGGTTAAGGGTCTCCCTGCTCTTCCTTGTGACTTCCTGACTGTGCCTGCACCTTCCTGAGTCCCCAGCTTTGGCTCTCTGGGTGTCTGACTCTGACTCAGTGTCACCACCCTCCCCTCAGACCTTGGAGATTGTCCCCAGGGCATCTCTCCAGAAGTGTTCCTGCAGCCACCCTCACTGGCTCTGTGTTCACAGCTGGTGCCCTTGGTCTTGGCCATGCACTCCTATGTCCAGCTCAGCCCAGGCCCAGTCCCGAGCTTCAACTTTATATGGTTGTCAAAAGGGTGAGAACAGATGCACAGCTGATCATGTGGCCTGCAGCTCTGGGAATGTGTGCCCTGTGCAGGAGTGGCCAGCCCCACCTCAGGCCCCAAGCGTTCTTCTTCCATAAGCCACTTAGGCCACCAGTGCAGGGCTGGCCTTTTGGGCACCCGCACCGTAGTCCTTTGGGCTCCAGGGACCTACTGCCCTGATAGGCTTCCTGCCTCCATATAAGTCTCCTGTGGCTGCTGTAACAAATAGCCACACACTCAGGGGCTCAGACATCCAAAATGGAGCCGGGTGCAGTGATGCACACCTATAATCCCAGCGGCTCTGGAGGCTGAAACAGGAGGATTGTGAGTTCAAAGCCAGCCTCAGCCTCAGCAATGGTGAGGCACTAAGCAGCTCAGTGAGACCCTGTCTCTAAGTAATATACAAAATAGGGCTGGGGAGTGGCTCAGTGGTCGAGGGCCCTGAGTTCAATCCCCGGTACCCCCCTGTCCCCCCCCCCCCAAAAAAAAAGAAATCCAAATGGGTCTCTCTGAGGTAAAACCAGGGTGTGGGCAGGTCTTCCCACCTCTTCCCCTGCTGGAGCCGGGAATCCCTTGGGCTGTGTCCCCATCACTCCACCCCCTGTGGCAGGACCACAAGCCTGGGCACCACCTGGCCCTGTTTCCTCTCCCTCTCGCCCCTCCTGTGCTGGGCTGCCCTGGCCCCCTCTGGGGCTCTTTGCTTCTGCTTCTGCCCCTGCCCGGTTCCAGTCCCTTGTCGCCCTGCTCTGCATGGAGCTCCCCAGGTGGCTCGGAGTGGAGGCCGCAGGCTGCGGCTGCCCCTGAGGCGACCCGTTTCCTCTGGCCTCTCCAGCTCTGCGCTTCTCCTGCAGCAGGCCAGCTGCCCACCTCCAGCCTTGGTGCAGTTCTGCCTGTGCAGCGGCACCTTTGCATCTGGCCGGGCAGCGGCCAGCACATGTCCCTGGACTGGTCGTGCCCACCACTGCTGCCAGGGCTTCTCTCCCTTCCCATCAGATCTCACACAGACTGCTCTCAAGTGCCACCAGCAAAAGCAGAGTCACCTTACAGTTCCCGAGCCCTCGGGCTCCTTCAAGGCCTGGATGGCGTCTCCTCTAGCTGGCCCCAGGTGGCTCCCTCCACTCTCCTTCTGTTCTTCACATGCAAACAGTTGTTGATGCGAGGCTGAGGGTTAAAACAGCAGCCAGCAGTCCACCTTGTAGGAGGCGCTGTGCCCAGCGAGGTCAGGAGCCCTTCCCTCGCCCCACGCGGGCTTCTTCCTATCCCACTGAATCTCGTGCTTATTTTGTGTTTCCTTGCTTTCTCTCATCTTCCCTGAGTGCCTTGCATGGTGTGTCACCTTCCTTCCTGTCACTAACAAATACCTGATGGCCAGCTTAAAGAGGACGGGGGTTTTGCTCAGTTTTGGAGGTGGCAGGCCGTGGTGGGCAGGCCAGCTGCTCTGGGCCTGTGGTGAGGGGCACAGCTTGCAAGGAGCCCGTGGTGCCCCAGACCATTCTCGTAGTGGCCAGGGAACACAGAGAGCATCTCATAGTCCAGGGTCCGAGGCCTCCCACCAAACCCAGCTCTCAGGCTCCTCCATCTCCCAGCTGCACCTCCTTGGGCCAGGCCTGCAACACATGGCCTCTGGGGACAGTCCAGGCCTAGCTGCGGCATCAGATCTTTATGCTGATAGAAATCCCCCAGTTCTGCGTCCTCATTGGGTGAACGGGGCCTTGGCCTTAGACGGACAAGGGCTAAGCCCTGATGCCCAGACACCTGCTTCCCCGACTCATTATAAATTCGTTTAATTTTTTTTTTTTTTTATGCCAAGGATTGAACTCAGGGGTACTTCCCTTGAGCCACATCCCCAGCCCTACTTTATATGTTATTTGGAGACAGGGCCTCACTGAGTTGTTTAGTGCCTCACGTTTGCTGAGGCTGGCTTTGAGGCTGACAATCCTCCTGCCTCAGTTCCTGAGCTGTTGGGATTACAGCGTGGCCACCACACCCGCCTACTTTAATGTTTTAAAACTTCCAAAACAATAATTAGTTAGAACTGAAGACTTTATACGAAGTGCCTTTTAAAAAATTATGAATGTAGATGACTGTCCTTTTCACGAGTATTTTCCCACATTTTTTTATTCGTGTGTTCTCATGGCTCATGACGGTGGATTTGTTGTCACACTCTCCACGCACACCAGGCGACAGTAGCGTCCCCCAGAGCTTCCTCTTCCCCCAAAAGATACTTTCAAAAATAGCTTTCTTGAGACATAACTCACTGCACAGTCCACCCTTCTAAAGTGCAGGAACAGTGGCTTTCTGACATTCATGGGGTTATCACCCATCGCCTCTAACTCCAGAACATTCTGTCATCTTAAAGGAAAACCCACGCCATGAGCAGTGTCCTGTCCCTCCCCAGCCCTGCAGACACAGCCTCACCCACTGGGCCTGGTTCACCCTGCACAGTGGGTGGACTGGGTTCCTCCTCTTCATGCCATCACGGCTCCTCCTCCTCATCCTCCTTATCCTCCTTCTCTGCTGGCAAAATGTGTTTACTATAAAAATTTGTTGCCTAGCCTGGGCAGATGCTGCTGGATCTGCCCTAGTGACAGGGCCTCTCTACTCAGGCTCAAACCAAGGTGACCCCGGGCAAATCCATTGGGCCAGTGCCTTTGGCAAGGAAGGGGCACGGCCAGAGCTCGCAGCCCTCGGATTCCTCAGGGGACCCAGGAAAAAGCCAAGGAACTGCAAGAAGGGAGCGAAGGTCAGCGTGACTCTGCTGTGGGAAGCTGAGGAGGTGGAGGCTTCCGGGCCTGTTCCTCCCTAGGCCTAGGCCCTCAGCCTGTCCTACCCACGCTCCCGTGTCCTGCCCTCCCCTTCCAAGTGCCTCCGCGGCAGCTCTGCACACCAGGCCAGGCCAGCCTCCCTGCCTTGGCCCTGCAGCCCAGGAGCTCCCAGTCATGACAGCCACATGTGTCCCCAGACATGGCCCAGGGTCCTAGGGCAGGATTTCCCTGTGACACTCCTGCTCTGAGATCCTGGGCCTGGCAGCCACAGGGCTGAACCCTGATTTCCTGCCCAGCTGAAGCACGGCGGCGTGGAGGACTGGCTGCTGCTGCCCCGCCAGGCCTCCCTGCGACTCCTCGGATCTCACGGCCTGCGTCCAGGCGTCCTCATGCCCTCCTGGGGCTGGCAGACTGCAGCAGAAGTGACTGTGCCCTTCCTGAGCCTGGGCCTCCAGGGGCCTGGCCTCCTTCCCCCCTGGAGTACCCAGCATGTGAATGACCCAACCTGGCCCCTGGAGGAGGAGAGCCACCATGGCCCATCTGGCAGCTGCCGCCTGAGACGCGGGAGGGAGCCCCGCCCAGGCTGCCTGCAGAGGCTGGAGCAGCAGGGACCACAGGCCTCGCTGGCCATCGTGGCCAGCTTGAGCTGCAGCAGCACAGTGAATGGGCCAGCGTTGGGTTTAGATGCTGAAGTGTGCTCCTCAGGCCACCCACTGTCATGAAAGCACACCCTTTGACTCTTGCCAACCTTTCAAAGATGGAAAAGCTCTCTTACCTGGGGCCCGCAGTTTTAGTAAAGAAACAAGCGCCACGAACCAGCAGCCACGGGACGAGCCCCTTGCCCTTCCACTCTCCTCTCCCTTCCTGCCTGGGCCCCCTGGGCAGAGCTCTCAGAGAGAGGCAGTGACCCCAGGTGGCCCGCAGGCAGCGGGCGGCTTCGCTGCGCTTGACGGTTACTCAACATGAGGTGGGCCAAGAGTTCCCTTTTTGGGTCTCCATCACTGCCTCGTCACCACCAGCGCTCCTGACACTTGGCGGTCCCGGCCTGTGGTGGGCGTCTCAGCCCTGGCTGCCTGGGGGCGGGCTCTGACTGTGACCTGTTGGCTCTCTCCCACTCCCTCCAGCTTGGCCCCAGGGTGTCTCCCGAGGGTCCTGCAGCCCTGGCCTTTCACTTCTCACTTCAGCAGCCTGGTCATGGCAGTCTTAGTCAGCTGGGGCCTCTGTGACAAAATCCTGCAGAGTGGGTGGCTTCAACAGCAGACCTTTATTTCCTGCAGTCCTGGAGGCTGCAGTCCAAGATCAAAGTGTGGGCAGGGCGGGTTTGTCCCACGGCCTCTTCTTGGCTTGCAGATGGTGGCCGCTTGCTCTCCGTCACTGTAACGACATACCTGACGTAATTAACTTTAAAAGAGTGCAGGTTTCTTTCCGCTGTAGTTGCAGAGGTTTCGGTCATGATGGGGGCCCGTGGCTTTTAGGTGTGTGGCAAGAGGCACATCATGGAGGGAACTTACGACAGCAGACCCGCTTACCTCATGAGCCAGGGAGCAAAAGAAGGGGGTCTGGAGATTTGGCTGTGGTGGACCATCGCCCTGGCACGTGTGAGGCAATTAAAAACAGAAGGAAGAAGGGGTGGGGGTCACCAACCCCTTCTAAGGCACATCCCAGTCCTGCCACCCCTACCAGCTCACGTCGTAAAGCCTCTCCACCTCCCTAGGGCACCACTGGGACCCAGTCTCCAACTCCAGCTCCACACCACGCAGTCTCCTTCCTGTGTGGCTGGCGTGGCCTTTTTGCCGTGTGCCTTCTCCAGGCCTGTGGGGCCAGACCCTAGCCTGTGGCCTCAGGCACTCTTTATCAGCTCTTTAAAGAGCACGTCTCCAAATACCATCGCCCTGGGCTCAGGGCTCGGGGTCTGTCTGACTCTGGAGGGGCACAGGTCTGTCCGCAGCTCCTAAAACAGCTCACATCCTGTCATGGGGCCCGGTGGCTCCCTTTGCTTCCTGGATTAATCTAAGAGCCCTGAGCCGTAGTTTCTCTGTGCAGCTGGCAGCCACTAGGGCTGCTTCTGTGTCTTGGCTGCTGTCAATCACACTGCTATCGACATGGCTGTACATCCATGTCCCCCTTGCTTTGGGATGACACCTGGGCAGGAGCTGCTAGGTCACCTGGGCAGTCTGTCCAGCCCTTAGAGAGCCGCTGGGCATTTTCCATAGTGCTGGCACTTTCCATTCCCTTGGGGTGATGAAAATGTTCTAAAATTAATGTGGTGAAGGTTGCACAACTTCCCAGATGTACCAAAGCCATCACACTTCACACTTTTTTTTTTTTTAATATTTATTTTAGTTTTTGGCGGACACAACATCTTTGTTTGTATGTGGTGCTGAGGATCGAATCCGGGCCGCACGCATGCCAGGCAAGCGCGCTACCGCTTGAGCCACATCCCCAGCCAACACTTTACACTTTAAATGGCTGAATTGTGTCGGTGTGAATTAGGTCTCAATAAAGCTCTTATTTTTATTTTTAATTTTTTGGTGGGTGGTTACTGGAGATTGAACTCAGGAGCACTTGACCACTGAGGCACATCCCAGCCCTTTTTAAATTTTATTTAGAGACAGGGTCTCCCTGAGTTGCTTAGCACCTCACCGTTGCTGAGGGTGGCTTTGAACTCGCAATCCTGCCTCAGCCTTCAGAGCCACTGGGGTTACAAGCGTGCGTCACCGTGCCCAGCAGTTGTTATTTTATTTTATTTTTTTAAAGAGAGAGAGACAGAGAGAATTTTTTAATATTTATTTTTTAGTTTTTCGGTCAACACAACATCTTTTTATTTTAAGTCGTGCTGAGGGTCGAACCCAGCGCCCTGTGCATGCCAGGTGAGTGCGCTACCGCTTGAGCCACATCCCCAGCCCCAGCAGTTGTTATTTTTAAAGACGGTACAGAAATTATAATTTAATGAGGATCAGGGGCTGGGGTTGTAGCTCAGTGGTTGAGCACTTGCCTGACATGCGTGAGGCACTGGATTTGATCCTCATCGCCACATTAAAAAATAAATAAATAAATATATTGTGTCTATCTACAACTAAAAAAAAATTAAAAAAATAATAATTTAATGAGGATCAAATTGTTAAATCAAAATTACTAAAGTTCCTTGGGTTCTGAAACACTGAGTTGCATATTCTTCCGTGCTTCTCAGAGGTCAGTTGTGATCCCAGGGCCCAGGGCCCTCTGGCTGCCTCGTGAAGTGCCTTCAGCCTCACCTGGGCATACCAGACCTGCAGTGTGGGAGCATCATGAGTTTTTGTGCTGCAGTGTCCCCAGCTGCCCAGCAGTGCTGTGACCCACGCACCCGCCTGGAACCTCGGGGTGGGCGGGCCCAGCACTTCCACTCTGCAGTCCGGCACTTCCTGCCTTTGCAGGCCTCAGGCCTCGGAGAGCCGCCACAGGCGTGGGCAGCAGGGCCCTGAGCCCCAAAGGCATCCCAGAACCCCACATGGGGGCAGGGTCTCCCCAGCTTGAGCTGCGGTAGCCACAGAGCAGGTGCTCCTTGGTAGGTGTCTGCAGTGGCCTCGGTGGCCACCACTAGGCACAGGAGTCAAAATCTATATGGATTAAAGTGAAACAAGGTTTTGAATCGTGCCCAAGCATGGTGCTGGGGTGGGACCCTGGCCTCGCTCATCCTGGGCAGGCGCCCCCACCACTGAGCCACATGCGGCTCCTGGCCACTGTCCTCATCTACCTTTGCCCTCTGAGATAAGGAGAGAGACCTCCCGGGGCTCATCTGAGGGTCTGTTTCTCTGTAGCTGCCAGGCGCTCTTTGGAGAGATGAAGACCTCCCTTGGGGGCACCATCCGGGGAGTGCGTGGCCTCTGGCACAATTCACTCTGCTCTTGGGCAGGGTCGGGAGCCAGCAGGAGCACCTGGGGCCAGAGAGCGCTTCAGGGGGCTCCAGAGAAGCAGCCAACAAGGCGCCAGCCAGGGCCGCCCCGGCCTGCCCGCATCCAGCAACCTGAAGGCCCAGCAGTCTGGCACCTGCTGCGAGCCATGAAGCCAGAGGGACAGAATGGCAGGGATGGGGATCTGTCTGGGAAGACCTGGCCTAGAGGGGACATCTGAGCAGCCACCCGCAGGCGGGGGCAATGCTGAAAGGGTTGGGAGGGCCTTGAGCAGGGGGAAGACGCGGAAAGGGTGGGCTTGGAGGGACCCCCTGGCTGCTGGAGGACAGAGAGAGGCTGTGGGGGGTGGGGCCGCGGGGCAGGCAGCGGTGTGCACCCCAGAGAATGGCAGGCCCTGTGGGCGGGCGGCTCTGCTCCCCTGCTCCTGGTGGAAGCCCCAGGCCCGTTCCACGCGGTCTCCCTCGTGGCCTTCCTGCCCGGGCTGAGTCAGCCCAGGCCAACAGCTGACTCGACACAACTGTGTCACTGACACAGAGACCTTCTTATGTTTTCCCTGAACCATAGAGTGTCACAACTTTGTGGCAGGTGTTAGGAGTCACCTAGAGATGGTCTAAGGTCCATAGGACCCTGCGGCAGGTCCTGTGCAGATGGCATGCCCCGTAGCACCCAAGTTTTGGTGTCTGCGAGGTCTTGGAACCTGCTCCCTGTGGACACCAAGGGATGGTGCGATCCTTTGTTTGCCCCCAAATTCCTCTCATCCTGCCACCTGCCTGCAGGCTCTGCGCACCGTCTCCTGTGATCTGTGTGGCGAGGGTTAAAATCTCTCCTCATCCCTTTCCCTGGTGAAGGCCCCTCCACTTCCACGCCTCCCCTGGTGGGTGACACAGAGCAAAGAGTGCTGGGCTCGAAACAGCACCTGTGCTGGCTTCTCTGCGAGATGGGAGCCCCCCACCCTCCTCCTTGGAGGGGCTCCTGGTGACTGCAGGGCGGACAGTGCTGTCCTCTCTGTGGGGAGCCAGGTGACGTGGATGGGGACTCACTGGAAGCCGGTTCTCACACAGGAACAGTCCTTGGTGCTAAGGGACCTTCTGCATCTTAACAACCAGGTGGTGACCTGCTCTGTTAAGCCAGATGGCCCCCAATTTAGGGTGATCCAGTCGGGTCTGCCTTGCAGCCTGGTGACGGCACCCTGCGCAGCCGTTCCACTCTCACTTTGTGTGCGGTGCTCACAGATCACACAGGTCGGATTCTCCACCCTAATTCCAGCTCTGTGCGGGGCAATCTTGCCCTCGCAGGCTGGCGCTCGGCGGTGGAATCTAGGAGAGGGCTGTGCTAGATGCAATTCCAGGTCACGGTCATCTTCCACTTGGTTTTATCGGCTGCAGCCACTTGGGCATCAGGTGGCATCTATACCGTGAAGTCAGCTGTCTTGGGAGGACACTGATGTTGGGCTTAAAGACGAGCCTCACCAGGGGCTCACCCGGGAAGCAGCAGAATGGGTTTGGTCCCAATGGCCACGAACCCTGCCCTGGTTCCCCTCGGGGTTGTTGAGATGGTTGAAGGGAACTTGAAACTGTGCCTGGGCCCCAGGAAGCTCAGAGGCGCTGGCAGACTCAGAAGGTGTCCCGCTCGGGTTGGCCGCAGTGAGTCGGGTTGCTGGAGTTCCACGTCCGGCTCAGGCGCGCTGAGAACTGCGTCTGATCAGCTCGGGCTTTTGTGATTCCAGCACCCAGCCGCCCCCAGCCTTTCCTCTCCCGGCCTCCGGGGCCAGTTACTCCGTGCAGCCGGCTCCAGGGATGGACCCCTCTGTGAACCTGGCCTTCGCCCCGGCAGCCCAGCCGCCCAGCCCTGGAGCCCCCGCAGGGTATGGCTGCTACCAGCCCCACTCTGGCCAGGACCTTGGTTACAACAACCAGCCCCAGGAGCCCGTCCCCGGGCCCACCTCTGCACCCACCTATCAGGTACCCCACTGCCAACGTGGCGGGAGACGTCGTGTGGCATGGATGAGTGTGGTGGACTCCCTTCGGACCCTGTCCTGTGGGCCTTGTATGGTCACCTTTCTTTCTAGCACTGTCTGTGAGGTGTGGGAAGGCCGTTGAATTACAGTTCCCTCCCAAGGGGGGCAGTCCCCTCCATCGTGGAAGCTGTACCCGAGGAGCTCCTGGGGACAGTGGCTGCCCACGAGGGCCTGCTCCAGTGCCCTCCCCGCCCACAGCCCCTTCTCCTGGATCTGCAGCTTGGGACCTGCGATCAGGCCGCCGTCTCCACTAGGTGTTCCCAGCTCTCCTGCAGTGCTGTGACCCATCCTGCCTCCAGCTCCTGCCCACACCTCATCCCCGTCCACATCAGTGAATGGCATCACAGGCACCAGAGACCCAGCATGGCACCCATCAAGCCACTGTCTTTGTCCCTCTCCCTACTCCTCATCAAGGCCTGGGACATCTCCCTCCAAAACTGCCCGCCTCCCAGTAGCCTACTGAAAATCACAGGCAACACTTGGTCACTAGCATCAGCTCCACTAGGGCCGCTGCGTCCACCTCTGTCTGCACTGTGTCCCCAGTTCCTCTACCAGGGCTTGTCACGGGGCGGGGGGCTCGGGGAGTGAGTGACTGAGCTGGGGCCTGTGGGGAGCCTTCCCAGCCCAGGCCCTGAGCTGCTCCCCCTCTCTCCCGTGGAAACCCTCACGCAGGACACTTACAGCTATGGACAGTCGACGGCCACCAGGAGCTACGAGGACAGACAGCACTACGAGGCTGCTGCCCATCAGCCTGGGCCTGAGGCTTCGGACTCGCTCTGCCAGCCAGGTGGGTGTGCAGGGCCCAGGGGCAGGACAGGCGATTGGCACACAGGCGGGATTCACGAGGTTCCACCTGCAACCTTCTGGGAGACCAGGGGGGTGTCCCCTGCTTGTCACATAGGCCCCAGTCTCAGCGGGCGGCTAGGCCTGTGAAGAGGGCAGGGCAGAGAGCTGATGGCTTTTTCGGGGGCACTTTGTGGGATGGAGGGGCGAGTTCTGTCGGGGAGACACGGGATGAGGTGGGATGTGTACGGCCCTTCTCTACCCAGCACCAGAGGGGGAGCCAGAGCTGGAGGCCATGGTGGGCCAGGGCCTCGGGCATGTCACTGCCAGGTCACTGCCAGGGCCTGGCTCCGGTTTCAACTGCCAGTGAGCTCCAGTCAGCAGCACCCGGCAGGCCCCCACGACTGTGCCTCTGGGAGAGGGTGGTGGGAGATGGGCCTGACCTCTTGGGACCCGCGGAGGCCACAGGAGCACAGGGGTGGGCAAAGCCAACCTCAGCCCCACAACCGGCAGCAATAGCCGGAGCAGAGCCACCAACCTGCCCCCGTCCTCAGGCAACACCTGCCCCATGACCCTGAGCGACTAGAGCCAGGCCTCCATTTGCACCCTAGTTCAGGTCCCCTGTCCCCATTTACCCAGACTGCCTGTCCCTCTGTCCCTGTGATCAACTCTGTTGGGATCGCCCCTCCCCCTCTCGTTTTTCTCCCTCTCAGGACCGAGCCACCCGAGCTACGGGGCGTGTGTGTACTCAGCAGCCAGCGCTTACTACCCTCCGCCGCCCCCCCAGACACAACCCTCGCCCCCCTCGGGGCCTTCTCAGCAGCTGCAGCCACTGCCACCCCGGCAGCCTTCCCCGCCGCCGTCTGCACCGGTGGGCTCAGTCCCATGGGGTGGCCCAGGAAGCAGCCCTAGAGACAGCTCCGCTGGCAGCTTCCCTGAGAAGTTTCCCAGCAGGCCACCGAGGCCCAAGGTGGGCCCCAGGCAGCCCCAGCTCCACTACTGCGACACCTGCAGGATCAGCTGTGCGGGACCCCAGGTCAGCCTCTGCCCTGTCGAGGGTGGGCACAGGGCAGGGCCACTGCCTGCTGACAGGTCTGCTGGGAACCGTGCACCGTAAAGCGTGCGTTGGCATCGCCTCAGCACGGGCCTGCTGGCATCTGGTGGGAGAAGTGGGAGCCGGGCACAGTGCTGCCAGCTGACGCAGAGGCCCAGTCCTGATCCCAGGGCTCTCTGCTGTCCCAGGAGGGGAGGTGCAGCCAGTGGTGCACAGGTGTGGCTTCCAGCATGGATAGGGGTGGCATCCCTTTGCTGGGGGACAAGCAGAGCCACAGGCAGACACAGAGGCCTGGGGTGTGTGCCCATGTAGACACACGTGGGTGCCTGTGTGTGCTTTTGTGTAGGCGTGCATGGGTATGAAGACCTGTGCGTGTGCCTGTGTGCTCCTGTGCATGAATGTGTGAGAGAAGGGGAGGATTTCCCTATCACACGGCAGCGAGATTGTGGTCTCAACACTCAGAAGTCACCCAGGGAGACTGTGGCCTCTTTCCCTGGAAAGAATCAGACCTCAGGCTCCGTCTTGGCAGAGCACGCAGCCTGATTTTGTTCCATGTTTCATACTGTGAAGGGAGCGCAGGGGCGTGCAGGGGAGTGGAGTCCTAATCAGGCTCTGGAGACGCGAGAGAAGCCCCCAGAAGGTTCCTCAGGCCCCAGGGATGCAGCTGAGGGCACGTGCTGGGGGCCAGCGCAGGCCCCACTCACCCGCCTGCCCCTTCCTTGTTGGGGTTCTTCCCAGAGGCTCTGACCCCGCTGGGTTCCCGCGCTCTGTCAGAGTCTGGGACAGAACCCCTGAAGCGCACCCCTACATCGCGCGCACGCCCTTGGCAAGGCCTGCCTGGCGCACCCCACGCCTGGCTTCCATCTCCAATAGAGCAAAACGGTGAAACCGTGGCAGGCTGGCCAGGGGCACGCAGCGTGCCTCTGTGAGGCTCAGGGTGCACGGGAAGGGGCAGCGCAGGACCAGCCTGCGGGGTCGGGGTGCAGCTGGCCACCCCCGTGTGGCACCTGGCACACAGGAGAGGCCCGGAGAGCCAGTGCTCCTCAGCCAGCGCTCAGCACGCTCGCTCCACGTGGCGGTGCGCGCCTGGCTCCCGCTGCCCTGACGCATCTCACAAAGCCCGCAGCAACGCCCCAGCCCTCACCCCAGCATCTGTGCAGCGCCCCGACTCAGGAGTTCCGCTTCCACTTGTCCCCGTGTGCGTTTCTGTGCTCACGTCACCACCCGCATGAGACCATCCCTCCAGGAGCTTGGAGCATGTTGCCAGCGCCACAGCATCCCTCGCGCTGCTGTCTCCTACCCATGTCCCTCCCTCACTGTGACAGGGCCATCAGGTTCCTGTGTCTCGCAGCCTGGGCCTGCTGTCCACCGTGGAGGGGAAGCGCAGGGGAGCGGAGTGACATCCTCACCAGTTTGGGGATTCTGAAGTTCCAGAAAGCATGGTCCCCAGGGCGCCAGGGCCCCGGAGGACAGCACTTCTGCGTCCCCTAGTTGTCTAAGTGAGAGAGACGGCACTTTCTGCTGTAGTCTCCCGTAGGAGGCTGCACCTCCCAGGCCACCAGGGGACCAGGGGCAGGGTGTGGGCTCCACCAGAGCCCCTTGGCGTCCTGACATCCCCCTCTCTCCACCTCCCCCTTCCCTGTCTGTCTCTTCCTTCCTTTTCTTCTGGTCCTGGGGCTTGAACCCAGAGGGCCCCACCACTGAGCCGCACCCCAGCCCTGTTTGTTTTGCTTGGAGACAGAGTCTCTCGGAATTGCCCAGGCTGGCCTCCAACTTGGGACCCTCCTACCTCAGCCTCCTGAGCAGCTGGGGTGACAGGCGTGGCCCCCACCTGGCTTGACACACCTCTTTCTTATAATGCTCCTGCCCTTCGTCCTCGTAACACATGTGACATGTTCACGCGTGAGCCCAGCCGTCTGGGGGACACGGTCTCCCTCTGCCTGTGTGTGAAGCTCTGAGCATGTGACATGAAGCCAAACCCCACCCCTGGGTGGCAGAGGGAGAGTTGAGGCCGAGGGGGACCATCCCTCCAGGAGCTTGGAGCCAGAGCGAGCCACAAAGACAGGCGTCCCAAGCTCCACTGAGCCACGTGACCCAGCTCATGCCGAGACCAGGCGAGGCCTGGGGTAGCTCCTCCCCAGCACACCCAGCAATCGGAGGAACAAGAAGGAGCAGGAGCAGCCCCTCTAACCTAGTCCTCCTGCATGAGACGATGCCCTGGCGGGGTTGGGGGCTCCTCCTGCAGGCGCTCTGCACAGCCCTGCCCTAATTGTGAGGGCACCATGTGCACCCTGTTGGCTAAGTGACATTCTAACCAGTTTGGGGATTCTGAAGTTCCAGAGAGCATGGAGCAGGGTGTCCCCCTCCCACCCTGTGCCCTGCCTCCTCTCTACCTCCTGTTTGTTTCCCCTAGAACCTAGTGGTACCATTTCTTCTGCGGACATTCTCTGCTGCAGGGGCTGGCCCTTGGCGTGGTCAAAGTGTAGGGGGTCAGGGGGCACGTGAGGCGAGGGGCCATGCGGCTTGCCTCCTCGGGGCTGCAGGAACCAGCTGGGCTCCCACGAGGGCCGAGGGCCGGGCCATCAGATATTTTGGGCACAGCAGTCCCGGGCACGTGGACTGAGAACCACGGCAGTGTGTCCCACGTGGAGGACTCTGCACATCAGTTTTCTAAAAAGCAAGTGGGCCTAGCGCCATCTGGGCAGCGATTCCTGATTGGGAGAAGCCCCCGCCCAAGCTGAACCTGTGATTCTTTGATTGTTAGATGGTGCTCTCTTAAGAAAGGGCTTATTTTAGGAAAGAAGAAACCACAATGATGTATTTTGGTCCCAGCTTCTGAGTTTTCTAAAGGGACACTTGCTCCTCTAGGGCGCCAGAGGGTGGTAGGATGGGGACAGGGGCCTCTGTCACATTACCCACTGGGGTCCCACCAGCTATGGCCACGGCCTGCTGGGGAAGGGGTAGTGCCTGCTGGGATGCCAGCTCAGGCCACCTCTTCCTCCTCACGGTAGACCTACCGGGATCATCTGGAAGGACAGAAGCACAGGAAGAAGGAGGCGGCCCAGAGGACGGGCCTGCAGCCCAACGGCAGCCCATGTGGGGCGCAGGCACAGCTGCACTGTGGCCTGTGTGCTGTGTCCTGCACCGGGGCTGAGGCCTACGCCGCCCACATCCGGGGAGCCAAGCACCAGAAGGTAGGGGCCCACACACCACTAGCCCACGCCTGGCCCCTGGGCATCTGGGACACAGAGGGCCACCTGCCGAGGTCCTTCAGAACACAGGGCTGCGGTCCCCGTGCCCCGGGAGCCATACACCTTCTAACCATGAACAGGACCCCCACCGCCTGCACAGACACATAGGGACCTGGGGGCCTTTGCACCTGGGCCACAAAGGAAACAACCACGCTCAGCACTTGGGGACTGCACAGTGTGCTGGCGGGGGTGACATTCCCTCAGAGCTGTTTCCTGTCTTCACACCAAAGCCTTCCTGTGGCCTGAGAGACGCCTGCAGGGGCAATTGGTGGCACCCCCACCTGAGAGAAGGCAGGGAGACCCCTGGCCTGCTCCCCAGGCTGCCGGGCCTTTCAAAATCAGCAGCGCCCACCCCCCGCCCGGGGTACTGTGAATGTCTGCGGGATGCTCACTCCAGAGGGCGTGGAGGGCTGAGGAGCCCTGGGATGCCAACCACGTAGTCACCGAGCAGGACGGCTGGGAGTGCCCTGTCCCGCTGCCACCTGCCTCCTGCCCTTGGGCCTTTGCATAGGGCCAATCTTTCCAGCCCATCCTGAGAAGGCTTGGCCTAGGACCGTCTCTCCCTCCCTCTCCCTCCCTCTCCCTCTCCCCGAGCTCACTGAGGCCCACATGGGCAGCCTCCTGAACACCTGTGGGAACTGCCCAGCCATGTGCCGGTGGGTGTGGAAGGTCGACAGAAGGAGTGTCGTTGCCTGGGGGCTGGCAGGAGATGAGACCAGGCAGGGCAGGTGCAGTGTCCCCTCCAGGGCTGGGACCGGGCCTGGGGTCAAGGAGGCTCTGCAGCCTGCTGGGTGGTGCAGTCCTGAGGGTGAACTAGCCAGCAGGTGGGTCTAAGGCGGTGCAGATGCTGGTGGCCACCCAGCAGGCCTTGCCAACTGGGACCTCAACAAATGCCTTGACCCACAAGTGCTGAGGGGACGTGGACGGAGCACGGTGCCTGCAGGTCTTAGGTGGAGAGTGGCTGTGTCCAGCACTGCGTGCGTGCATCCGGCTTGCCTGGTGGTCCCCAACCACACATGCACACACCGAGCCGCCCTGTCTGGGCAGGGCCCTCGGAGTCAGGGAGACAGAGGTCCGGATGAGGGACAGCCAGAGGAGGCCAGAGGGAGCCAGGCAGGTGCTGAGAGCCGGAGGTGCCTCGAGAGCAGGAGGAAGGGTCTGGAAGCAGGGGCAGCTCAAGGAGGCCCTGGCAGGGAGCGGTGCTCTGGAGGCATTTGGGGGGAGCCTGGGAAGGGGTGGGGCCCCTGGATGCTCAGCCTGTCTCTCGGAGGTCATCCTGACGGAGGGACGGGTCCTTTCCAGGTCTTCAAGTTGCACACCAAACTGGGGAAGCCTATCCCCACCATTGAGCCAACGCCCAGGAGCCCTGCCCGCAGCAGCAGACCCGGCCCCCACACCTCTGACAGCGCCCCCGAGGCCTCCACCCGGCCTTCGGCCTCCGCCACGACCAGCCTCCACACTCCAGGCAGGCCAGCCCTGGCCAAGAGGACCGTGGCCTCCAGTGCCCCGCAGGAGGGTAGGTGGCCCTGCATCCCTGTCTGTGTGCACCAGGGCAACCTGGCCGCCTCCTCAGGTCCTGGAGCAGAGGCTGAGTGTCAGGGTGTGTGCCATGTGCGGGAGCGGGCGATGCCGTCCAGAACGCGGCCCGAGACCTTCCTGGGAGGTTTTGCTGTCGCGTCTTCCTGTAGCCTCCAAAGCCCTGTCAGTGGCCTGGAGATTTCCTCCCACCCTGGTGCCCAGGGCACACTGGGTCCTGAGGAGTCACGTGGGCGCTGACGAGCCACGCGCTGCCCTGACCCTGCCCTGCAAGTCCGGGCCCACCATGACCGGAGGTGGTGACAGCTCCTGCTCTGAGCCCTCCACTCTCCTCAGGCACCGTCCCTAGCTGCTCCCTTAGGAAGATTGTGTCACTTGTCCCAATGCGCAAATGGAAAGACCAAGGTGAGGCGACTTAGGGTGGCTGGCCGGGCCACCCAGCCAGGAGTGGTGGCTCAGTTCCCCCTGCTCTGTCCAGCGGTCCCCGCTCGGGCCCCTGTGTCCTGCGCTGCTGGGGGTGGGTCTCTGTGGCCTGGGCAGCATGGCTTCTTGAGTAACAACAGATTTTAAACTTCTCGTGGTGCGGAAGCCCGAGCCCTTGCAGGCTGGCTGAGCCGCACCTCGCCCTGCAATGTGGTTTTTTTTTTTATACCTTTATTTTATTCATTTACTTTTATGTGGTGCTGAGGATCAACCCAGCGCCCTGCGCATGCCAGGCGAGCGCGTTACCGCTTGAGCCACCTCCCCAGCCCCTGCTTTCATTTTTGAGGCTGGGCCTCTCTGGGCTGCACAGCCTGGCTTCCACCTCCCCTCCCCACTCAGCCTCCCACACAACTCAGGCCTGGGCGCCTGCGTCTGCCGTGAGAAGTTGATGGCAGAGGCATTTCTCCCGAGGCAGGATGTGCCTGGTTACCTGGCGAAGGAGACTCTGGCCACTGCCTCCTCATGGCTGATTCACAGAGGTGGAGGTTAGGAGCAGCTGGCGGGTCCCTGAGGGAGGGGTGCAGCCTGGGCTTCTGCCCCATGGATTCGGGCTGGCCTCAGGCCTCCTCGGCTGTGACTTGAGCTGGTGTGACCCAGAGACGCAGCTCCAACGAGGAGTGTGTGTGAAGAGGAAAGGCTGGGCTCCTACTGAGCCCCGGAACCCACAGAAGTCACTCACTGGCTTTGTGGTGCCGGGGACGGGCCCGGGGCTCCCACACACCGGGAAAGCGCTCACCCCTGAGCCGCACCCAGCCCTTTCTTAATTTGGGGACAGGGCCTTGCTAGGTTGCCCAGGCTGCCTGGACCTTGCCACCTCCTGCCTCAGCCCCCTGAGTGTTGGGATCACAGGCGTGGCCACAGCACCCAATGGAATGGCCTCTTAAAAGAAAGGTCCAGGTGCCTTCGCGCCAGTGATGGGTGATCACAAGCCCTGATGGGGGCGGTGGCTCCTGCCCAGGGGTATGCGGTTTTCGAGAGCAGCAGGCGTTTCCTTGGGTGGGGCTTGGGGCACCGTGTGCCGCTGCTGGTTCTCCTGTGAGCAGCCAGCTGTGGTGATTCCTTTATCCATCAGTCTGCGCAGAGCCTCTCTCCACGTGCCCCCTGCTCCGTTGGGAGGGCTTGGCGAGGTGACTCCACGTTGAATCTGACCCTTTCACCTGAGCACAGCCTGTGGTCTAGGCAGCGCTAATCGCCATCACCAGCTGGAAAGGACATGGAGAGGCTGGGCTCTGTGTGCACCTCACACTGCACGGCTGGTGGTGTCCAGCCAGCTCTGGTTTCTGGCTGCAGTGACATGGTTGTCCCTCTTCAGGGCCTCCCAGGACACAGGCAACACGAAGCAGGCCCCCGGAGGGGAAATCAGCTCGGCACAAGTCGGAGGGGCCAGGAGAGCCACCCTCCCGAGGAGGCCCAGGGGAAGCTCCTGGGGGCTGCTCAGATTCGGAGCCCGTTGGCCCCGACTACGTGGAGGAGGTGGGTAGAGGCCACCGCGTGGCCGATCCCTAGTGCAGAAGGGCCAGACCCTGGATCCAGCTTCGGCACCTCGCTGGGCTCATCACGAGAGATCTAGGTGAACCCGCCCCTTCCGTGGGTGCCACAGCAGACCTTGTGGGGCCAGCACTTGGCGCAGACCCCCGATGGCCCTGAGTGAGGGGCAGGGCATGCCATCACCTTTGCAGGACTGTCCATCTGCTCCCTGAAGAGGGCGGGTGGAGAGAGCCCAGCCAGTGGAAGGAGGCCCAGGACGCTCCTGGGAGGGACGGGTGTGCCACTCCCTGCCAGCTGGCTTCAGGCCCCGCCGGCCTCTACGGGGGAGGCAGCTGGGTTCCCTCAGCTCACCACTGCTCAGGTTGTGAATTCTGGCCCAAGACGGGTCACTGGGAGCCACCATGCACCTGCATGGCCCCCTCAATGTGCCCAGGGAGAAGCAGTCAGTCCCAAAAGGCCCATCCGCCTCCCAGAGCCTCGCTGGGGCTCGGGCCACGCACAGAACACAGCTGTCACAGGGAGCTGCAGGCCTGTGTGCCTTCGTCCCCAGGCTCATGTTCTGGTCCAGTCCGTCCAGCATCTTACATTTTGCCCCAGGCAGAATGACCACAGCAGCCAGAACCATGCCACCCTGTCAAGAAGCTGCCTCACATAAGGCCGTGGGCACCAGGGAGGGCCAGGGTGGGCAGCGATCGCAGCAGGGCAGAGCCGGGCTCCTCAGTGAGGTGCATGCCAGGGGTGGAGACTGGGGCAGTGCCAGGAAGACGAAGGGCCAGGCGGGAGGCCAGCCTGGGCTTTGGATGACACCCTGAGCAGGCACAGAACTGACCAGTCACCTGCATGTTGGTGACGTCCTCTGGGCTTTGCTGGAACGGGCAGCTGTGCTTCGTGTCCCAGGTGTGCAACGACGAGGGGAAAGTGATCCGGTTCCACTGCAAGCTGTGTGAGTGCAGCTTCAACGACCCCAACGCCAGGGACATGCACGTGAAGGGGCGGCGGCACCGGCTGCAGTACAGGGTGCGTCCAGCAGGGGCATCGGTGCCCACCCAAGGGCTCAGCCGGCCTCCTGGCTATCCCACCTGCCAGTGCCCGGTCTGGTTACCTTGGGGTCCCGGGGTGGGCAAGGGCATGGGTTTCCATTTTCTGTATCCAGGTCCACATCAGGAAATACACTTTTGGCCTCCATGAAACTGGGCCTTAGTACCTCCAGTCCCTTGAGCCTCTGGACACTGTGAGGCCTGGACAGCCACCTCTTGGACCCTTCTCCACCATGATCCACCACACCCTCCTCCCGCTGGGAGCCCCCGCCCCACGCTCTCTGCCCACCTGCTTTCCCATACACCGCTCTCAGGGCCGCCCCACCGGCCAGCAGCCTCAGCCACGTCTCAGGGCTGGCTCTCGGCACCCCTCAGCCCTCTTGGCCGTGGATGCTCCCCTCAGGCTCCTGCATGTCCTTAGAAACAGGGCCATGTCCCTCTTACCTCAGTCACAGTCTGTTCTGGATCAGCACTTGCCCTACTGCCTGCCCAGAGTGCTCAGGGATGGAGCCAAGGATGGGTGCAGGAGTGGCAGGTGGATGGGTGGGTGGATAGATGGGTGGACGGGTGTGTGGATGGATGGGTGGATGGATGGATGGGTGGATGGATGGGTGGATGGGTGGATGGGTGGATGGGTGGATGGATGGATGGACAGATGGATGGATGGGTGGATGGATAGAGGAATGGTTAGGTGGATGGATGGATGGATGTGTAGATAGATGGATGGGTGGATAGGTGCATGGATGGGTGGGTGGGTGGATGGATAGATAAGTTGATGGATGGGTGGGTGGAAGAATGGATGAATGGATAGGTGGATGGATGGGTGGATGGATGGATGGAAGGGTGGGTGGAAGAAAGGATACATGGGTGGATGGATGTGTAGATGGATGAATGGGTGAATGGTTATATGGATAGATGGGTGAATGAGTGGGTGGAAGGATGGATGTGTAGATGGATAGGTGGGTGGATGGGTGGACAGATGGATGGATGGGTGGTTGAATGGATGGATATATAGATGGATAGATGGGTGAATGCGTGGGTGGATGGATGATAGATGGGTGGATGGGTAGAGGGATGGGTAGATGGATGGATAGGTGGATGGATATATGGGTAGATGGGTGGAAGGATGGATGTGTAGATGGTTAGATAGGTGGATGGGTTGACAGATGGATGGAGGGAGGGAGGGAGGGAAGAATAGGTAGATGGATAAATGGATGTTTAGATGGATGGATGGGTGGATGGGTGGACAGATGGAGGGAGGGAGGGATAGGTAGATGATAAATGGATGTGTAGATGGATGGATGAGTGTATGGACAGATGGGTGCATGGATGGATAGATGGGTGGGTGGAGGGTGGAACAGTGGATAGATTCGGGAAACCAATGATGGTTTTGTATTCTTTTGGTCATGCATATTTGCAGGCAGGTTTTTAAAACAAGGAGGGTGAGCCCACAGGAGAGCCATGGGATGGTGTCTGGCTATTGTCTCCCTCTTGCTGGGTGGCCCCGACTGCACGCGCGTTCTGGGCTAGCTGGACTGCTCGCGGCTATTCTGTGGCCACCTTGTTACTCTCCAGTGCAGTGAGGCTTCCACCTGCAGCAGACAGAATACTGAGCGAGCACAAGTGGCCCTCAGACGTCTTGCTATGATGTCACAGCTGTCTTGCGCTGTGTGAGCAGCTCTGGAGGCCTTGCTCGGGAAGCACCCTGTCCTTCAGTGAGCGGGACACACCCTCCCAGCTCCTCCTCATCAGGAGCACCCGAGTCACCTCTCATCCTTGGTGGCTGACGGTTGCTCACCCTTGAGCTCCCCTCAGTGGCCCTCCCCCACCACCTTCAGGACGTAAACTGCCCTGTGGGCGCGGAGTGTGGCAGCCTGGGGTCCTCCTTGGCACCCTCCCTGGGGGCGCCTGCTCTCACAACTCGCCTTGCCTTCCCAGAAGAAAGTGGACCCCGACCTCCCCATAGCCGCCAGGCCCAGCAGCAGGGTGCGGAAGCTGCTGGAGGAGCAGATGAGGAAGGAGCGGCAGCGGGCCCAGCGGCGGCTGGAGGAGATGCGGAACTGGTGCTCGGAGCTGAGGTGCCCCCCACCCCCAGCCGCAGGACAGGGACAGGCCCCGCCCGCGCCCCCCCAGGGCCCTGCACAGTGCCACCATGGGCCTCCAGGGCCAGACCGCCACCCTCACACTGGGCAGCCTCCGTTCTGGCTGGTGGGGGCCTCTCGGCTCAGTGCCACCATGGGGGGCCAGTCACTGCTCCATTCCATGCATCCCCTGGCCTCTGTTGTCCCCTGTGACCCCAACTGTGGGCACACTTTCTCATCTCCCTTCTCCACCCTTCAGAGCAGTCCCAAAGCCGGGCCTGGCCCTCTGTAGTACCCGGGCCGTGGGCTCTCTGGCAGCAGCAGGCCTACGTGGGGAGGACACGGAGACGCCGCCGAGGGCACCGAGGCTGCATGGAGCCTCCCACCCCCGCACATGGCCTTGATCCCACCGTGCATATGGCAGGCGCTGTGCAGGGCTGTGCCCTCAGTTCTCGGGAGCCGAGCGAGAGCCCTCAGTGTGGGTGTGAAGGCGAGGGGGCCTGGCTGTGCCCACGCGTGGGGCATGGGGCACAAGCACGTCTGCTGCAAGAGGTCGGCTCCCTGGGCCTCTGTCCCCTCAGCCCTCTGTCCCGTTTGGCCCTCTGTCCCCTCCAGCCCTCTGTCCCGTCTGGCCCACAGGCACCATGAGGCGCGCTGCAGGCAGCCAGAGGAGGAGCCACGGCCCCAGGACAAGGAGCAGCAACCCGCCTCGCCCGACTGGGCCCCTTCGCCCGCGCTGGGCAGGCTGGGTGTGCCCGCAGTCCCGCTCCCGGTGGGTGCCGAGGGCCAGTGTGAGGGGCAGCGTGGCCTCCTCTAGCAGAGTCCTCTGTCGGCACCAGGGCTTCTGAGCGCCTGCATCCCGCCCTGCCCCCTGCCCGGCCCTGGGATTCCGTCAGCTCCCTGTAGCCCCAGGGTGGGGGAACCTCATTTTGTGCCCTTCTGCCCCAACTCCCCGGCTCCTGCTGCCATGGACATGTGCCCTCCCAGGCCAAGCACCGGGTTGATGGGAAGCTGAGGTCTGCCCCTCACCAAGGGCAAGACCCTGGTGGACTCTCGAGCCTCTGGCCGGGTTCAGAGGGATGCGGCCCACGCTTCCTGCAGCCACGGGAAGCCTGAGCTCCTCCTGGCGCTGCCCATGGCTCCCGCAGTCCGCCCCCGGCCCCCTGGGTACTGGACGCCCACCTGGCCATGCCCCGCCTCTGAGCCTGGCTGGCCACCATCCCCCCCACCTGTGCCCAGCTCCCTGACGCCAGCCTGCTCCAGGCTCCTCGTGAGTCCTCCTGGGGCTTTCAGTGCTGTCACAACGTAGTAGGCTGCCTTGTCCCCTGCCCACTTGGTCCCACAGACAACTCAGCCCAGCCCTGACAAGGTGGCCTCTCCCCACAGCCCAGGCGGCGGCCAGAGTCCAGCGATGACCGGCACGTCATGTGCAGGCACGCCACCATCTACCCCACCGAAGCAGAGCTGCTGGCCATCCAGAAGGCCGTGTCGCACGCAGAGCGGGCCCTCAAGCTGGTGTCCGACGTGCTGGCCGAGGAGGACTGGGGAAGCCTGGAGGAGGAGGGCGGCCAGCGCAGGTAACAGAGAGGCCTGGCCCTCAGGATGGGTGTCTGCAAGGACCACAGGGGTCAGGCCCAGGCCCTCCGAGGCCCATGGAGGCTCTGCAGCTCCCCGCAGAGCAGAGGGTCCCTGTCTCCGAGTCTAAGCCCCAGCTACAGGGAGGCGCTCCTGGCTGGGAGCATCCTCTGAGGGCCACGCGCCTCAGCACGCAGCCCATAGAGCCGCACCGCGCTGCGCCTGCCACCTGCTGCTCTGCTGAGCCCGAGGCCACAGCTGGGTGACACTCAGTGAATAAAGTGCCCAGGTGCCGCTCACAGGGACGACCTTTTCTTGGTGAACCTCGGCTTCCTCATGATCGGGGTTAGGGGACCGGAGGCCAGGCCCTCTGCGGCGTGCTGGGGTGGACACGGCTGACCGATGGATGCACACAGGGGCTTTTCAAGGCCTTCCTCGGGGGTCACGTCCCTCCTGTCCTCTCTTGGGGGTCTTCCTGCAGTGGGGAATGCACTGAACCACATCCAGGTGCACAGCTCCACCGCGTGGAGCAGTCCAGGGCCGCGCCGCCATTCCTGCCGTCACCCAGAGCTCTCCCAGCTACAGTGTCCCCACAAGCACTGACCCCCGTTTGTTTAAGGCCCCCACGAGTGCACTTCCTGCCTGTGGGCTGGCCTGCCCTGGACCTTTCACGCAAGTGACCCTCTGACCTGCTGAGTGTGGACAGCTCCTCTGGCAGCACTTGGTCTGCGTGGAAGGCGTGGGCCCTGGTCAGAGTGTCCCTGCCCAGGGACAGCTGTATGTCCCACTCACTCCAGCCTGGCGGGCGCCCCTGGCAGGGGCGGGCTCCCACTTTACAGACTAGGAGACCGAGGCGTGGGGAGGCTACTCCCAGGGCTGGCGCTGGGCATCCAGTGGACCGCTGGCCCCTCCTCTGACGGCGCCCCACGGCTCTGTCTTGACAGCAGCGCTGTGCCCTCGCCTCGGGTCCTGAAAGGTGTCATGCGGGTGGGCATCCTGGCCAAAGGCCTTGTCCTGCGGGGAGACAGGAACGTGCAGCTGACCCTGCTCTGCTCCGAGAAGCCCACACACGCCCTGCTGCGGAGGGTCACCGAGCAGCTGCCCCAGCAGCTCCTGGTAAGCTCGGGCACCCCGCAGCTCCCTGCCCGCTCCCCAGGGCCCGCGGACCCAGCAGGCTCCCGCCCTCCAGGACTTTAGGAAAGTGGAGGCGTTGCCGCCCGAGGCCGGCCAGCTTCTTTTCACAAGCTGTTGGAAAGGGGGCGCTGGCAGCTCCTGGTCCCCTGGTGGGAGGAGTTCAGGCTAAAACACAGAAGCTGTCCAAATGTCCCACCCCAGGGATGGCACCTGTGTCACGTCTGCCCGGCGTCAGGAGGCTGCGTGGCAATGTCTCCGAGTCAGGCCCGAGGCTGAGACCGGGGCGGGTGTTCGGCTCCCTCTGGGGAGCCCCGCTCGCCCTTCTCACCCGGGAATAGTGGGGAAGGCCACGGCCACCCAGAGTGATGTCTAAGGTCAAAACCAACCCCGCCCCGACGGCCGGGTCCTCCTGAGTCCCTTCCCAGTGTCCAGCACTGGATGGGGCCTCAGGTCTCAAAGGTGAATGGGAAACCACACGTGGGCAAGTCAGCTCCAGCTGTCCTCTGGGAAGGAACTAAGCTGGGGCCAGGTGGACGGGGCCAGGGGGGCTTCTTCAGACAGGATGGGGCGCGAGCCCTGACCGAGGACCTGCGCCCTCGGGTACAGCATTCTGCACGACAGGGCCAGCCCTGCAGAGGCCAAAGGTGGACAGGAGAGAGCAGGAGGGACAGGGCCTGGGCTGAGCCAGGCCTGCAGGGTGCGAGGAGGTGAGGTGGGGAGCGGAGGGCCCAGACCTGAGCCCCTGAGAGCTGCCGGGGCGGCAGGGGCTCGGCACAGCCCGGGTCTCCAGAAGCCCAGCTCATGGCGAAGACAAGCCCCGAGGCAAGGCCAAGGCCGTGGGGAAGCTGGCAGAGCCCCACCCCATGGGGAGAGCCCGAGTGGGCAGGAGATCAGGGTTGGCAAGAAAGGTGCGTTTGGGGGCAACTCGGGGTGGACACAGGTGCCTGGAGGGGCGCAGATGCACAGGGAGCCTGGCTGCCATGGAGACCCCTGGAGAGCGTCCTTCCCTGGGGACAAGGGCATCTCGTGGTGTCAGTCTGCTTCTCTCTGACCACAGAGGTGGTTGTGTCCTATGTCGTCTACTGACCAGCTCTTGCCTCACCATCTGCGCTCAAGTGCCCTGGGGCTCTCCACTGGGAGGCCCCGCTCAGGGCCCAGGTGCACCTGCCCAGTGTGGCCTCAGCTGCATGACGCAGCCCGCATTGTGTTCCCACCCCAGATACTGACGGACGACAAGTACGAGGTCTCCTCTGACCCCGAAGCCAACATCATCATCTCCTCCTGCGAGGAGCCCAGGATGCAGGTCACCGTGACCCTCACTTCTCCCCTGATGCGAGAGGACCCCTCTGGGGACCGAGGTGTGGCCGGGCCCCTCTGTCCAGGTCCCTAGCCCCTGCCCACACTTCCTGAGCATTGCACATACCCAGTCCTGGGGGTCCCACAGTAGCCCTCCAGCACTTTTGTCATCCCAGATGCTGCTACTCACCCAAGAGCTGGGCTTGGGGCAGCAGAGACCCGAGATGGTGACTACGTCCTGCTGCTCAGCTCCCAGGCGGCAGCGCCATTCTCTGGGTACCGTCCCACATAGGCAGGGCCACGTCACCACCTCTCCCTGCCCCTGCCCAGGTGAAGCGTGGACGGAGGCAGCGGAGCAGCTTGATCATGTTGCCAGGGCCACCACAGACCCCCAGTCCCAGGGCCACTTGTCTGGCTCCTTGAAGTCGGATTTGCCCCATCTGGGAGAGTAGGGGAGAGTACTGGGCAAGGTCAGGGGAAGGGAGGGCCTCGGTCACTGGCCTCAGCACTGGCCATGGGGGAGGTAAGTGACAGGCATGCCCGCAAACCTGTGCTGGCTGGGGCCTGTGACAGAACCCTCTAGAAGAGTCTGAGCAGTTCCCCAGGCCCAGTCCTCCTGAGCCCCTTCCTGATTCTCCTGGCCGTGGCTGAGGCCATGAACCACAGTTCAAATGGGTCCTCTTTACAACCAGAAGGCTCACAGCTGCCTCTGGACCCTGGGGGAGAGCGTGGGCAGGGTGGGTGCAGGGCCACCCCAACTTGAGGCCAGGACCTAACAGTTGCAGGGACCTTCGTGAGCACTCGACACTAGGCCTCCCTCGAGGCCCCTACCTGGCCAGATTAGACCCTTGGAGACCCGAATCCTCTGACAGGTGGCCCCGGGCAATCTCAACAGGACATGTCACTTCCTGCAGGCCACTGCCTTCCTCAATGGGGGGAGGCCAGCCCCTGAGACCCCTTCTCTTCCCCCCAGTCCCATCGGGACCCCTGGAGTCATTGCCGTGATGGGCAGACGGGTCCATGGCAGTCATGGAGGGCAAGGCCGCACCTGTCCTGAGGTGCGAGCCGGCCAGGGCTGCTCTTTCCCTAGCCTGGGGTTAGGCCTCAGTGACCAGACCTGTTGCCATCCCACCCCATCCTCCTTTCTGTGGTGCATTTGGAAGCTTCCGGAAACAGGCCCAGTCTGTAGCTTCCCATCTGCACCTTACCTGGCTGGTGGAGAGGACCTGCACCCACCCTGAACCCCAGCCCCCTGCAGCACCCCTCCTGGGCAGATGGGGTTTGCAACAGTGGTTTCTGGGGTCCCTGCCCTATCCCTGCGGGACGATCCAAGAGGAGCCAAGTATTTCCCAAGAATGGACGGTCCAGGTCCACGCAGCCCTCCGAGGCGGGAGCAGAGAGGACGGGCACCTTCCCACTCACCTCCCTCGGGGACTCTCTCCCATTCCTTCCAGAAGGAGCGGAGAAGCCTCAGCCCGACCCAGGAGATGTCCTGAGCCCCGAGAGGTGCCTGGAGTCCCTGGCAGCCCTCCGTCACGCCAAGTGGTTCCAGGTCAGGGGCCTGGGGCCGGATGGGGCCAGGGCACCCACCCAGCCAGCAGCCTCAGCGGAGGCTCAGCGCCCAGAGGCTCTGGAGCCCCTTCCCTCCTAAGGACAGGCTGGTGGGCAGGGCTGGAACGGGGAGGGCGCGACGGCGCCCCGGGTCTGGACGCTGCTGCCTCTGTGGCCTGTGCGCACTGGGGGCCGGCCAGCCCTGCCCCGCCGCCCTCCAGGCTGCCTGTCCCTCCCAGCCCACGCCCCCCAGTCAGGGCCACTGCCCCTCCAGTCAGCCATCCCCCACCCTGTGGCAGCACATCCGGTCCCCAAGAGCTGACTGTGGCTTCCTCCCCAGGCGCGAGCCAGCAGCCTGCAGCCGTGTGTGATTGTCATCAGGGTCCTACAGGACCTCCGTCGGCGTGTGCCCAGCTGGGGGGCCCTGCCAGCCTGGGTAAGGCCATCTGTCCCCCCAAACACCCCCCCGAGGGCTCTGCAGCCCTGACAAGCCCGGACTCCTTCCTCCCAGATGAAAGTGCCCCTTCCCGGGGCACCTGGCCAAGGGCGGCCGGAGCTGAGACAGTCTGAGGGTGGGAGGGCTGGGCCACGGCCGCTTGTGACTCATCACCCTGAACCCACACTGCAGGCGAGGCCAGGGCCACATGCAAATGTGGGCACACCAGGGAAATGGGTGGCCTGGACCCTCCCGGCATCAGGGCAGGGAGAGGGGCCTTGTCCTGGCCTTGCTGGTGCTGAGCCACCTGCCCCAAGGGGGGCCCTGCAGCTCTGGCTCCACCCTGGGTCCATCCCATGTAGGGAGAGAAGAGCCTCTGTGTCCCCCAGTGAGACCCTCAGGTCCCCAGCGACTCCCATGCCTCAGTGGCCAGGAGCTGTCGCCCAGCACAGGCTCCTCCGGCTGCAGGTGCCTGTCTCTGTGGCTCCACTGCGCCCTCCCCTCCCTGGTCCACCCGCCCCACCCCGTCAGCGTCTAGAAGTGGCACGTATGTCATTTCTAAGCCCTTCACTGCTCATGTGATGCTGCGGGAGGTGGCGGGCACAACTCTGTCCCACCCCAGCTCTGAGGGGGCATGCGCCCCTCTCCTGGCCTGAGCCCGGTTCTGGGCCGAGGAAGCCCTGGTCCTGTTCCCTCGGCACAATCCAGAAGCAGGGCCAGTGTCTGCCAGTGTCCAGAGGAACCGTCCACTCCAACCCCTGGGAGTCACAGGCCACGTCACGCTCGTGACCAGCCCCTGGCCTGCTCCAGACTAGAGAAGCCCCACAATGTCCTAGACCACCTCGCAGACGTCCCCACCCTGCCCTCAGAGGCTGAGGTGGCGGCTGCGCCTAGCCCCGGGGGTGGACCCCAACTGAGGCTCAGTAGTGCTGAGTGGGCCTTGTCCCTCAGCGTGTCTGTGACATTGCTGTGGCCCAGACGCTGCAGGTGGGAAACAGGCCGAGAGGCGGAGCCATGCAGCCGTGGCAGTAGGTGGCAGAGGCCTGGCCGCTTCCCAGGGGTGGGCAGGAGGGAGGGTGGGCGAGGTCCTCGTGTCGCAGGGCCCGGGGTCTCCAGCCCACCTGCTAGTGCTTTGGTGGAAGAGGGCTGTCTGGGTCCCCAGGGCACGTGCGTCCCTCCCGCCCCTAGGCCCTGGAGCTGCTGGTGGAAAAGGCTCTGAGCAGTGCGTCCAGGTCTCTGGGCCCTGGGGACGCCGTGCGGCGGGTCCTGGAGTGTGTGGCAGCTGGTGCGCTACTAACAGGTCAGTCGCTGGACAGAGCCTGGAGTGGGCAGCAGCAGAGCCCAAGACCATGGCCGGGTGCCCAGGGCTGCGCACACACCTAGGGCCAGGGTCGCCCCAGACGGGAGAGGGACAGGCCGGAGCAGGGGCAGCTGGCCCAGGGCGAGGGCTGGAGGCAGGCGGGGTCTGCCTTCGGAGCTTTCCCGGTGCCTGCCGCCTGCCCTATGCAAATTTATTTGAATAGATACTTTATTCAAAGCGGAGACCAGATAGTGGGCTGGGTGTGAACTCACCGACAGCCCTGCAGCCAGGAGGAAGGCGCCAGGGCAGGGGCCAGGAGGGCACAGCTCTCAGGGACACAGGACACCGCTGAGTGGGCGGGGGTGACGCGCAGGCGCTGTGGGAGGGAGCTGTTTGTCCACACTCAGGGCCCAGCCTGCCTGGGGGCCTGGAGGACCCTGGCCCCCCACGCAGGACCCTGCTGCAGACCCTCGGGCTGCTCAGCGTGGCCGTGAGGTCCACCGTGTGTCACCGCAGTCCCTCACCAGGTGTCCTTGCACTCTTTGCTGCCCCCTCCTCCCCCCACACAGATGGGCCTGGGCTCCAGGATCCCTGTGAGAAAGAGCAGAGGGACGTCCTTGGGTCCATGAGCCTCCAGGAGCGGGAGGACGTGACAGCCAGTGCCCAGGTAGGAGGGCCAGGGCCACCAGGGCCCTGCACAGCACCCCAGCGAGCCCAGGGCTCCTGTCCCTCCCCCTGCGAGACACTGGGCAGAGGAGGTGGTCGGGGTGGGCAGGACTGCCCCTTGAATGAGGCCTGGCCCTGGGGCTCCGCGGGCCAGGACTGCCCTGAGCACCCCACGACACGGCCCATAAACACCCAGCGTGCCCCCGGCCTGGCCTTCCCAGCTGGCCCCTCGCCGGCAGACCAGGCTGTGGGAAAAGCCTGGTGTCCGCAAAACTCCAGTCCCGGGGGGTCTCCCTTCAGCGGGCAGGAGGGGACGCTGGCACAGGGCGGGGCCCCCGGCAAGCTGCTCCTCGGCGCTGGCCGCTCAGCGGACGGGAAGGGGGCGCAAGTCAGGAGCAGTATCCTGACGCCCCGGTCGCCCGCAGCACGCCCTGCGCATGCTGGCCTTCCGGCAGATCCACAAGGTCCTCGGGATGGACCGGCTGCCACCCAGGAGCAGGCCTGGGGCCCGATTCCGGAAGAGGCCCCGCGAGGCGGGCCCAGCCGAGGAGGGCCCGGGCGAGAGGAAGCGGGGCCGCCAGGGGGGCACAGGGCTGGCCTGAGCCTCTGCTCACCTGGACAGGCCTCGCGGTGGACAGGGCCTCCTCCTCTGCAGTGAGGTCTGTGCCTCCGCCGCGCCGGGTCTCACTGTCCTGGGAACTTAGCTGCCCGAGGCCCTGGGAGCAGCCCGCTGCCCACCAGCGGCCGGCTCAGTGAGCCACAGGGGGCATCCTCTGTGGCTTCACACGCTTTCTGCAAAAGGGTGTGGGCTGCACGTGGGGGGCGGGGTGGGGAGCAGGTGTGCAGGGGCCCCAGGGACCGTCAGAGCCCCACCCCACCCTGCTGGGCAGCCTGGGGCCAGCAGGGCCACAGACAGGCAGGTGCTGCCAAAGCCCCCAGGCCGCAGCCCCCAGGAAGACCTGTGTCCCTCAGCCACTCCCACCCAGCACCGCCCCCACCCGAGTGCCTTCTGCAGGGGCCGCTCTGTCAAGGGCTCTGTCACCCCCGCAAGGCCTGGATTCCTCCTTTGGTTCCCCCTGATTTTGTCCCACCAGGGCCTGAGGCAGGTGGTCCCCAGTGCTCCCTCAGGGCTCCAGCCCAGTAAAAGCAGGGCCAGTGTGGTTGTCCCATGGCCCTGGGGACACCACCTGCCCGGTCCTCACCCTGCCCCGTTCAGACCTCTCCCTCTTCTTTCCCAATGGCGTCGAGTAAGAGAAGTCCCTCTGTGCGGACATGACCTGTGGTCATGTGACTGCTTTGATTCCATCTCTGTGCGTTTGAAGGACAGCCTGTGTGTGGCCCGAGTCTGGGCCTCGGGGAGCCTCGGGGAGCCACCTGGAGACTGGTGGGGAATAAAGGAGCCCTCTCGTCCGCGTGTGGCCCGTGCTCTCCTTTCGCTCAAGTTCCCCAACCAACACTGGGCCCTCCGCCTGCCTTGCAGGGCCCTGGGGACTGGGCCCCCAACCTCTCTCCCTGAGGCTCTGCCCATGCAGGGGGCCCCTTTGGACACCAGGAAACACTGGCTATGTGTGTCCCTCAGCCCAGGACTCTGCCTCAGGCCTCGGGGAGCTCCTGGCCTGGTCCCTGCTGCGAGCTGAGTGCTGGGAGGCCCCAGAGCTTCCTGGGAGGGGCGGGCATGCGAGCTTGGCAAGATGGCTCTGCCCACACAGAACTTCCCCGCGGCTTCCCCAGATCTTCGTCACTAACTTCAGAGGGTGGACAGGGTTCAGATGAGGAGACCTGGTCACAGTGGCAGGGAGCTGGGGAGGAAGGCGTGGGCAAGGCGGCAGTGGCCCTGTGGGTGGGCAGTGGCGTGTGCACTGCACACAGACGGTGGTGGGCACAGAGGAGTGGGCAGGAGATCAGCCGGACCCCCTCTGGGCCCCGCCAGGGAGAGGCGCCCACCTGGAGCTGGAGGCCCTGGAGAAGCGGAGCAGAGGACACTGGCCACACGGTATCTGTCAGGCACTGGAAAGGGCTCAGACCTCCTGTGAAGGCAGGCCAGGCCACTCTGCTCTGCCCAGGGCCCGCCCCTCCAGGAACCCCTGCTGCAGGCACAAATGGCCCGGTCCTGGGGCGGGCCTCCTTCAGCCCCCACCCTTGCCCTGTTCCCTCTGCTCCGCGCCTCCTGCACAGGGTTCCACTCCCTCCCCACCTCGGGGTCCGCAGGCCATTCACCCAGCTTCCCAGGCTGACCTCCCCACCTCCTGGGGCCTGGCCCTCATGGCCAATGTGCCAGGAAAGCCTGTCACACCAATTCTGTCTCCAGCCTCAGCAACAGTCACTGCTTTAGCCCTGGGGGACCCCAGTGTGCTCAGGATGAAACTGCAGATCCAAATAAAGACCCCACCACCTGCCAACTGCGCCTCTGTCAGTCTGCTGCAGACGCACCACTCAGCCTATCCTTGGAGGAGCCAAACAGACCTGCCCCAGGGCCTTGGCACATACTGGTACCCCTGCCTAATGAGCTCTCTCCTGGCTCCTGCTCCTCCCCTTCCCCAGGCCTCTGCTCCAGTGTCAGCTCCTCAGAGAAGCCTCCCAGACCACCTCGACCTGCCACTAACCCTGTTGTCATTTCACTAGATGTGACTGCAAGCAGGAGGCCTGGGTGGGACCTCATGGTCCCAGGTCCACACGGGAGTAGCTGAATAAATAACTGTTCAAGCCAACACCGTGTCTCCGGGATGGTGATGGTGGCCAGTGGCCACGGGCAAGCCAAGGGCCGGCCGGCCTCTGGGAGCCGCTCCTCCACCCCCGCGGGCAGCCCTCCGCCCAAGTGCCAGCACGGGGCGCCTCCCGAGCCAGGAGACGTCGCCGGTCGCCGAGGCTGGGACCAGTCCTGCCGACGGAGAGTTAACCGGGCCCCCCTAGCGACTCCCGGCGGGGGCTCAGGTGGCGACAGCGAACCCAGCAGGGGCTAGCGCGGCCGGGTCCGGACGGAGGCGCCCGGGGCCTGGAGGCTGGCGCTGCGACCGCCCTTCCCGCCCCTGCCCTCGTCCCCCGGGGAGGGACCCCACTGCAGGGCGCGGGGCGCACAGAGGCCGCGGCAGGAGCGCGCGGGGGCCAGGGCGCCGGGGCGAGGAGCGTCGGGGAGGGCGGGGCACGGCCGCGGTGCGGCGGGAGCGTTGCTAGGAGACGCGGCGAGTGGGCGGGGCCGGGAGAGAGGCGCGTCCGTGGGCTCCAGCGCAAGGTCACGCGGACGCGGAGAGGGAGCCGCGAAGACGCACCACGGAAGTCCACGCGGGCCGGGGCCGGGACGCAGGCTGCCCTGGGGAGAGAGCAACCTGGGACCAGCTCCGGCTGACCCACGGGTGGCCCACGTTGGGAAGCACCTGTGTTGAGAGACTTGCGCTCGCAGCTGCGCGATTTCCAACAGCCAGAAGGAAGAAGCAGCCCCAGGGGCCATGCGGGGTACGACACAGCCTTGAAGAGGGAGGAGGTTCTGACACACCCGCAGCTGGATGGACCCTCAGGCCGCTATGCCTAGTGGAATGAGCCAGCACCAAAGGACACACTGCAGGAGCCACCCACAGGACGTCCCCATCTGGCCAGATGCCTAGGGACAGGAAGTGGCATGCTGGGAGCCAGTCCCTGGGGAGGGGATGGAGCTAGATTAGTGGGGACAGAGTTTCAGTTTGGGAAGGTGAAGAAGCTCTGGAGATGGCCGTCAGGGACCGCTGCACAGCCCTGTGACTGTGCTTAACGTCATTGAGCTATGACTTGGGCGCGGTGAAGACGGCCCATTTTCTATTTTATCACAATTAAATTTTCCAAGGTATTGGGGTTTTCCTGTTAAAAAACTCTGAAGAAAGGAAGAAAGGGAACACATGGGTCAACCCTGTGAAGCTCCCCTTGCCACCAGCTGTCCTTCTCTGGATGCACGGCGGTGACGCGTGGCCCGTCCGCCTCGACTCTGCCGGACGTGATTCTCCTGGAGATCCTGCACCTTCTTTGAAAATCACCAATTCAGCCCCTTGAAAATGCGCCACATGGTGGCATTTCAGGCACTCAGTGTGGCGCAGCCGTCACCACTGTCTAGTTCCAGAACCTTCCACCAACCAAAGGGAGGCCTCATCCCATGACCACTCACTTTGTCCCCCCACCCATGATCCACTTCCTGTCCCTGGGTCACATGCTGTGGCCTGTGTGTCCGGCTCTCCCTGAGCACCAGGTCCTCAGGTCCCTCCACACACAGCTGTCACCTGGCTCCTGGTCAAGGTGTGTGTGGACCACACTGTGTCCACTGGCCCCCTGGTGGACACTGGGCTGCTCCCATCTTTTGGCTGCTGAGCTGTGACCAGGGCTGGGCACAGCACGGATGTAGGTGCCCGAAGTGCCCAACCATCCCCTCCTGGGGGACAGCCACATCATTTTCAAGGCATAGGTCACGGTGGACCGGACTCTGCTAGGACGTCTGGAGGGACGGGCCGGACACCCGGAGGCCCTCACGGCTTATGAAGGGCCTTCCTGGCTCGCTCCTCCCTGGCCGGGCCCCCTCCTGGCCGGCCTGTGCTGGCCCTCCCTGTTGAGTGGCCCGGGCTGGCCCCAAACTCCCTGCTGCAGCGATCCTCCTGCCTCAGCCTCTGGAGCAGCTGGGACGGCAGGCGCTGCCTCCCGGTTGGAGTCTCCCCTTTTTAAAGATCCTTTTCCACACCTGCACACGAGTGTCCCTCTGAGCCACCGTTCCTGCCCTCGTCCCTTCACACATGTCCCCAGCACCTACACATGTCCTGGGCCGGCATGTGCCGACCACCCGTCCTTCGGCCATCACAGGCACTGCCCTCCTTGGGGAACGCCAAGAGAGCAGAAATCACCTCTGCACCAGGGAGGCAGGGCCGGCCTCCAGGGGCAGCTGGCCCTGAACACATAGTGGCAGGCGTGGACAGCTGCCCCTCCCCCTGGCCTACGAAGCTGGAGAAGGCTGGCAGCCTGGCCCTGCAGGCTGGTGAGAACCCGTCAGTG